CTAATAAATGTATATAATCGTTTGAAAAACCTGCGTTCGACCGCTTTCTGTGTGATAAACGCCGCTAATTTTATTCTCTAGTTTCAAGAGCATTTTTGCGTATTAAACAACTTTTTCAAGCACAGATGCTGTGGAGAAAAAAATTTAAGTAAGCTCATGATCTAAATTTAAAAAAACAAAAAAACTCGATTATATTCGCTTATTAACGATATTTTTGAATTATGACTTTCGGCTCCCTAAAATTTTTTTGGCAAAGACGAATTTTTTTATTTTATTGTTTTAAAATTACCGTTACTTGAATCAAAAATCATTATTTAAAAAAAGAAAGAGTGCGTTCGACCTGAAAAACACATGAAAAAAAGCAAAAAAACGACAAAATTTTTTTAGTTCTATTCACGTTTTTTTGTACGACATTCCGCGAGAACGCATCAAAAAAGCGTGAAATATTTTTCAAACGAAAGAGGAAGCTTTTTTTCACATGTGTGTCAAATTTTATTAGCCAGTTCCACATATTTTGCAACTACAACAAAATTAAAATTGAAAACCAAAAAAAAGCCACTTTTTCTATCGCGAAAAGGGGCGTGGCTTTGCGGTCACTAAATATAGGGGCTCAAATTCAAGGTTTTTTCGATGGAGCGCGTTTGTTCCGGCTATTTCTTTTCGAAGCTCACAATCCCTTGAAATTTTAGATTTTTTCGAGTTCGATTGCTATCTGTAAAGCCATTTTTCCAGGTTATTTTCTTATTTAACTGATCATTCTATGATTTTTGGGGCTCGAATTCAAGCTTTTATCGATGGAGCGCAATTCCTACGGCTATTTATTTTCGAAGTCCATAGCCCCCTGAAATTTTTTGATAAATTTCGGGCGCGGTTTTTCTCTCTGATCGACCGAATCTGATTTTTCGATTTTTAGAGACTCAATCCTGAGAAGTTTATCAATGGAGCGCGATTACCCCAACAGTTTTTCCTCGCCGAACCCATCGAATGCCCTTCTCCCTCGCCTACGCAGACGCCAAATTACCATCACCGATTATTCAAGCTTGAAAGAAAGGAAGAAAAAGTCTCACTCTCTATCTTCCCTCCCATTAATTCACCCAGGCAAAAGAGCGGCGAGTTTCCTGGATTTGCCCCCCCATCGCAATCTGGTCCGGAAATCGCCGCTCCTCTTGTATTTCCGGCACTTGCCGGCCTCGCTCTTGTTGATCCGATTAACATATACGACTTTATTAGAGAAGAAAAATGGATGTTTGGTTTTTGATGGTCTTTTTGCAGGGTTTTTCTGTTTTTTCAAAGCCTGAAAAGTCGGTTCTTCAGTCTCCAGTTTTTCTTAAGCTCGAAATTGAAAAAAGGCTATTTTCTCGATAACTTCCAGTTCATTTTCCCCATCTTCCAGTCACCACACTCTTCGGAAAACGCCAATTTTCGTGCTGGGACCTCTTTTTAAAACTCTCGATGCGCCTTTAAACTTTGGACTTTTTTCGTTTTTTTTGAAATCAAGTTTCGCTGTAATTTTAAGCAATAATTTTAGAGAAAAAACGCCAGTTTTCGCTTTGAGACCTCATTTCAAGCACTCTCGATGCGCCTTTGAGTTTTGGTCTTTCCTAGTTTTTCGAGAATTCAGTATTCCTGCAAATTTAACCATTAGTTTCAGAAAAAAACTTTCTTCGCGAAAATTTTGGTCACTTTGTTATTCTACTTGGATAACACGGAAAAAAAACGTCTTTCGCGCTGAGACCCCATTTTAAGCGCTCTCAATGCGCCTTCAAGGTTCCTGATGTTTCTCGTTTTTTCTGAATCGAAAATTTGGTATTCCTGCAAATTGAACCATTAGTTTCAGAAAAAAACTTTCTTCGCGAAAAATTTGGTCACTCCACTGGCCACGTGAGAAAAAAAAACGCTTTTCGCGTTGAGACCTTTCCCCTAAGATGCGCCTTTAAATAACGAATGGTTTCAATATATTTTCCTCTTCTGATCATGTTCAAATTTTGAAGCCTTGCATCAGAATTTTCGAAAATTAGAACTTCAGAATCAGTTTTGAATAAAATAATACTCGAGAAACCGGCTTCTGCTAATATTTTTGCTGCGGGAAGAGTATAATCGCCTCATTGATCATTTACTTTGCTCCCGACCCCTTTAAAGGTGAAGAAGCTCAGGTATTTTGCAGAAAAAACATCAAAAATCAAGGCTTTTCTTTTTCTTTGAGGAGAATATGAAGTATATTTCAGTAGGGAATCCACACATCCAGATGGAAACTCTGATTTTATTGATTAGTATGAAAGTGATTAGTCATACAATGACTAGCGTTCGACGTCTCATTCCACGTCTTCTCATTTATTTATTGTTCCATTGATTGATTATTCTTCCTTCTTTTCCTTTACTGAAATGAACACCTCAAACCTTAGTAAAAAAATATTCCCTCCTTATCAAAACTTGAGGAATATGATATGTTGATGCGACACTTAGAAACGCCCGGATTATCTCGCATTTTTTAGCCTCCTACTTCTTTGGATCGATCCCCAAATCCGTTTTTGTGCCACCTTCCTCAACAATTTTTATCTGGGTTTTATTGAGTTTTTTTGGGGGAATTTGATTTTTGGTCAATCAACAGAAATACTTTGAAAAATATTTTCATTGAAACTTTGAGGTTTTTCTTGCGCGAGCGGTCGCGTCGCGAATCCTAGCTTAGGAACTCCAGAGTGGATCTTTAGGGATCACTTTACTAACCCCTAAAGAGACCCCTAACGCTTGAAAAAGTGGTCCCTATAGGGTACATGCTTGTCGATAATTTCTATGAACACTGTACTAAGAAGCATTTCCATGCGAAAAAACTAAATAAATAAGACTTTTCGAATAAAACTGAAAGACCCCTAGAGAGCCTACTTAAGCTCTAGGGGCTAAGGGGTTCGACCCTAAACCTTTTTAGTGACCGCCTTGAATTTAGCTCTATAGGGACGACTTTTTCGGCCCCTTAACCCCTATAGCGATTACTCAAGAAGCGGTCATTTTTTTCAAGTGATCACTTGAGTGGTCTCTCAGTGTAGCTTTTTCTCTCTCACTTCAAATGACCCTTTTTTTCTTTGGTCATATTTTTTTGGTTTAAAAAAATTAGAAATTATCTTTTTCAGTTGTGTCAATATTCATATCGAAGTCCGTTGTGATTCAAAATGCAATTTTGAGTTTTTTTCAACGTTTTCTAGAGATTTATTAATCATATAACCTTTTTAACTTTTCTCTGAAAAGTCTGACAGATCTGCGCCATAAGCTTCTTTTTTGTCTGATTTCTGAAGTTTTCTCGTATTTCCTGCCCTGGGAAATCAAGAAATCACGGCCTTCCTAATGGGGTGAGTGAAGGTGAGCGAGCTTCTGAATTTACAACAAAAAAAAGTAAGTGCGCGCTCCGGATAAAATGACATCATTCTACGTCACAAATTACATGAGTATTCAACGTTCATAACTTGTTTTTTCGATCGTCTTCGCTTACTTGAGATTTCAATTTCAGCGGCAATTTTTTTTTTTTGAAGTCTCCGTTTGGGAACCCCGTGAAATGTCACACTTTCATTAATAAAGTCTAGTTCAGAAAAAAGCCAGACTTTCATTATTATTATACTCCTGAACACGCGTCACAACTTGAATGGCTTCTGATTGTTGCAAAGTGCGCTCCAAGGACAATTTTCAGAAAATGACGGCTTTAACGCGAAACGGACGTGCTACGGACGTTTCTGGGCGATTCTAGGGATCACTTGAGAGTTCTGAGGCTACTAAAGTGTTCACTAGAAAGGCCCCGACACGTCCGATTCGCGTTACCACGGTCCGAGTAATCAACGAATCGGCTTGACTGCCTGATTTCTCGATTTTTTTTTCTCTAGGCGACTCTCTCGCGTTCAAGTACTATTTTCATATTCTTCATGGATGAGGGAGAGGAGACGCAGAGAGGTCAGACAGTTACCAAGTCGCGGCGAATAGTGATTTCTCCCCCTGAGAACTTCCTTCCCGGCGTTTCATCACTCCCCTCCAACTTGACTCATTTGACTCACTCAAGGCCAAAAAAAAAAGAACAAGAAAGTGTTGTGAGGCTTCCTCCAAGTAGCGCGACATCCTCAATCCCTCCTGCTGCTGCTCCGATAATCCTCATCGAATCGACATTCGGCGGCCCCGGCGCCCGTAGCCTAGCGACTTCCGCCCCAAAGTATTACATGAGATTACATTTGGATTGGCCAGCATTTTTATTCAATCTTCGGCACCTGTTAAACCTTTTTTTCGAGTTTTCCGATTCTACTCGATATTTTTGTCATTGTCTGGGAAATCTAGGATTCGAACTCTTTATTGGATTACGGTAGTTGTTCAAAAGAGTTTCGTCCGCAAATGCGGCGTTGAAATTGTAAAAGTTGGTTTACGGTAGTTTTACAAAAGAGTTTCGTCCGCAAATGAGGTGTTGAAATTGTGAAAATTGACCTTTTTCGATTTTTCGTGATATATCTGTCATGGTCTGGGTGATTTGCTTGGAATCCTCTATTTTGTAACGATTTTTGGAAAAGTTGTATTTTTGGGTTACGGTGGCTTCACAGTAGAGTTTTGTCCGCAGATATTGTGCCAAGAAGTGCGTTTTCTCGATAAACTTCGGTTTTTCTCGATAAACTTCGGTATTGTGCCAAGAAGTGCGTTTTCTTCGATAAACTTCAGGAGGGAAAAATAGCCCTTTTCAAATGACCAAGTGCGCTCTATTGATAATTTTCCATTTTTGTAGGTTTTCCGGTATATCTCTGCAGCAAAAACTAAGTAATAGAATTTTATTAACTTTTCGGTAACTCCATTTTTTGAGAATGCGATCGGTTAGGAAAAAACAGCCGCTTTTTGAAGAAACTCTGCGCTCCATTGATAATTTTCACGTTTTTTTAGTGTTGATTATCGATTTTTGATCATTTTTCTTTATGAAAGATTTGAAGAAGGATCCGAGAAGCCGTGAGGTCGGATAATCAGAAAAGGAAGAAGAAGAAGAACGAATGGACGATGGCGATGACGCGACCTGCTACATGGTCGAGGAACGGGCGTTCGAGTACGACTACGACGCCGAGTTCGACTGGAATAACATGACCGTTGCCGACTGCAACTGCACTCATCCTCTCCATAAATTCCTTGAGGTGCATATTTCGAAATTTGTCAAGTTTTCGAGAAAAATATTTTATTTCCGATGGCTACCAATTGTTGTAAAGTGCGCTCCAAGGCGATTATTTTAAAAATTAACCAAAAAAGTCAACTTTCATAGCCTTTTCGTCACGGGAACAGTCTGATTTCTCTGTGCCCTCTTCTTTTTAGTGCTCTCTGACCTCCACGATGAGAGAAAAGAGAGCGCAGGCAGGTCAGACTTCTTCAAGTCGCGGCCAATAGACTAGACTGGGTAGGAACATAGAATGCAAAAAAAGTCATTTTTGAAGTTAAAATTTGAGAAAGTCTGATTTATCTGTGCCCTCATCTTTTTACTGCTCTCTAACCTCGCCGGTGAGAGAAAAGTGAGCGCAGAGAGGTCAGAATGTTTCAAGTTGAACAGACTATATTGAGTAACGGAAAAAATAGAAAAAGATTTTTTAACATTTCGAAACAGTCTGATTTCTCTGCGCCCTCTTCGTTAAAGTGCTCTCCAACCTCATCGTTGAGGGAAAAGAGAGCGCAGGCAGGTCAGACAGACTATTTCAAGCCGCTTCTCATAGACGACAAAGTCTTTTGGACTAAAAATCTTCGTTTTGAGCTTCAGAAGCGAACATCTTGCTTTTCCATAGCCATTCCTCGAAAATTTTCGGCTAAGCTGTCTGGGACTTGTTCGGATTTTCTGAGAATTTTCGGCCCTTAGAAGGATTATCGACTCTTGTGGGAGTCTGAGGAGGCTATTGGAATGAGGAATTATTTCTTTGGAACAACTTGAAACCGTCTGACCTCCCTGTGACCTCCTCTCTCTCATATTGGAAAAGTCGGAGAGAGTAGAGGGCGCAGACAGGCCAGAACTCGTTCTGAGGAGTTTTTTTTTTCGATATGACCATCGAAAAAAAAGGACTAGGACTAATACTTCATTTCAAACAAATTGTAACTGTCTGACCTCCCTGCGCCCTCTTCTCTCTAATCGGAAAGGTCGGAGAGAGTAGAGGGCGCAGACAGGCCAGAAATCGTTCTGAGGAGTTTTTTTTTTGATATGACCATCGAAACGAGGAATAATACCTTATCTGAAACAAATTGTAACTGTCTGACCTCTCTGCGCCCTCTTCTCTCTCACCGGAAAGGTCGGAGAGAGTAGAGGGCTCAGACAGGCCAGAAATCGTTCAGAGGAGTTTTTTTTTATATGACCAGGACTAATACTTCATTTCAAACAAATTGTAACTGTCTGACCTCCCTGCGCCCTCCTCTTTCTCACCGTAAAGGTCGGAGAGAGTAGAGGGCGCAGACAGGTCAGATTTTATACCTATTTGGAATGGGTAAGATCCATTTTTTCTCAGGTCTGCACGTCGATATGCACTGTCCACCACACCGGGGTGGTATTTTCCATGTCCGAAGAGGATTTATTCGAAGTCGCCCTGCCGGCCTTTCTCTACTCCCTGGTCTTCCTCGTCGGAACCGTCGGCAACGCAATGGTTCTTTTTACTGTTTCAGAACTTCCTTTTAACACTTTGATCGAATTCCCGTATGATATTCATATTATGTCGACAATCCATCATTTTTACATTTTTTTTTCAGAAAAAATGTGCCCTTTTTGGAAATCTTGAAGTTTATCATTGTCCTCTAGTGATATTTTTAGGGTTAACACTGATCTGTTCCTAAGTTCAGTTAAGAAATCAAGAATGTGCGCTCCATGGACAAACTTTTTTTTACACCTTGGAAACTCTCACGTCAAGGTTTCTAGTGTTTTAATGACCACTATGACGCTTTGTACAGGTGGTTTTAGTGGCCACCTTAGGGTTCTATCCAAGCAGGAACCTCTTAAGTGCCAGTCAAGTTTTTTTTTCAGGTGATATTTGTTGTGAATCGCTTCAAACGGATGCGAAACGTGACGAACATCTTCCTGGCTTCGTTGAGTACCGCTGATCTTTGTCTCATCTGGTTTTGTGTTCCTATCATGGTAATAATAAGTTTGTATACTTCATTCGCCACGACTTGGAAACGTCTGACTTGTCTGGGCTCTCTTTTCTCTCACCGACGAGAGCCTAAGGAGCTTCAGAGTGGTCCCTACAGGGGCAACCTTAGGGGCGCTTGAAACATCCCCTCTAAAAATCACTTTACCTTCGCTTGTAGGACCTTACCTATGATCATTATTGAACCTTACGAAAGGGGTCACTCCCGGGGTTTTAGTAAGTGGCCCCTATGGGGGATATGCCAGTCGTCCATAGGTAGGAACTCTATGAGAAGAAGCATCTTCATGCTAAAAATCAACACAGGATGTGCCCTTTTTTGGAAATTTAAAATTTATCATTGTCCTTAAGTGACCTCTTCAGGGCCAACACTGATCTGTTCATAAGTTCATTTATTAAAAAAATCAAGAATTTGAGCTCCATGGACAAAGTTTTTTTGTTACACTCTGGAAACTGTCCAACTTTCTTTTTTTAATTTTTTTCGATCTGAACGGAAAGTTTGAAGACCCCCCCTGATCCCTATAGGGACCACTACAGCGCTCCCAAGCACATGTCCCGGTTTCAAGTCGGGGCTAAAAAGGCATAAAAATGTTTTTTTGTTTGATATTTGTTTTCAGTTCGTAAAATACATGTCGCATTCTTGGTTCATGGGCCGTTTCGCCTGCTATTCGGTCCATTATATCCAACAATTTACCTGTTTCTGCTCGGTTTTAACCATGACGATGATCTCGTTCGAGAGGTTCGATTGGAATTTTGAACTTTAAAGAAAAAATAAATTTTTTTAGGTTCCTAGCAATAGCCTATCCGATGCGGAACATGTGGCTGTCTTCCATTGGGAGGGCCAAAAAGGTGGATTTTTTAAAAATCATTTTAGAGGGCAGTTTTAAGAATTATTAGTGAAAATTAAGCTTTCAAAAAGGTTGGAAAAACGTAAAATTATTCGAAAAATTCATCGGAAAAAAATTGTGAAAAACGTTGAAAATGAGACTTAATTTTGATTTTTCTTTCTTAAACATCATTTTCAAGGCTTATGTGCAAGATAAAAAAATAATGAAATTTATTTTATTTTTTTCTATAATCCCGAATTTTTTTCCGCCAAAATGGAAAAATTCCATTCAAAAAAATCAGGTTTTTTTAATTTTTTTCATCTTCAAATTTAAGAGATAATTTTTAAAAAAATCCATTAAATTTTGGTCTTTTTTTCAGTCACAGAGCTTTTTTTTCGTTTGAATCAAAAAAACTCGAAAAGGTAGGGAAAGGTACATTGTCCATAGAGCGAGCTTTCCTCGAAGCTTTTCTAAGCGCGGCTATTTTTTCTCAGCGAAAAAACTTCCAGGTAATTTTACTAATTTGGCTCCTTTCTGCGGTTTTGGCAATACCTACAGCAATTCGTATCGACTACGAAACGAATATGTCTCTGTCTGGGCAAAGGGTCCATTGGTGTCGTCGAAGGTACGTTTTGGGAACCATGGTCGCATTTGGAATGGCTCGATGGCGTTTTATTTTAAAAGTGCTATTTCGAACCAGTTTATGCTTCGTCTGTTCAAATTTTGAGTGTCAATAAAAATGACGTCACTCAAAATTCCTCTCTGAAGTGGTCACTCTCTGATTGGGTCATCGCGGTGTTAGGGGCGGAGCTTGAAAGATGACTCAATATTAAAAACCTAAACAAACGATAGCAGAAAGCGCTCCTTGAGACATTCCAAATACGGTCCGAAAACTTCAAAAATTCAAATTTCCCTTCAGATTTCCGAGTAATTTTCTCGGTTACTCACGGGTCAAGCTCAACCGTGTTTATGCCGTTTATCAGGTATTTATCATTTTCTTGAAAAAGAAAATTTTTTTCACTCAAGATGCTACTTTTGATCGTTTTCCCCGTGGTGACCATGACGATTTGCTACGCTCGCGTCTCGGCTATCGTCTACAAATCTTCAAAAGATCGGATCATTTTATCGCAGGCCATGTTCGTTATTTTGCTAGAAAGATATCATTTTAATAGTTTCAGTTTCTTTCATGTAGAAACTTTCCAGAAGATATGAAGTTGAATCCATTTTCAAGTTTTTTTCGGGATTTTTCGTTTGATCTCGAATTTCCCGCCAAAAGCCGCGTCGCGTACGCAACGCGTCGCCCTTGTCACTTTAAAATACATAGACAGACCTTTTTTAGCGGCCGCCATCACTTCCTCCAAAATGAAAGCCAGTACTACCTCGCTATTTAGGAAACTTCCCCCTTCGGTTGAACTTTTGATGAAACGTTTGCTGAAGTGCACGTTAGGACCTCCTGATTGCAGAGAAAAAAAATTCTTCGCAACAGATCTCGTTTTCGAGTTAGGACGCTCCAAAAGCTTGAATTAGCGCGTTTTTGGCCTATTTTGCGTATTTCGCGGACTTTGAAGGTTCATAACTCGAAAAAAAAAAGTAAAAGACGTTCCCTAGTACCAGAGGTGGAAGAAATGAGGGGCCCTCCAGGGCGCAACATGCCCGCCTCAGCCATTAGGCCTCTGAGAAGAAATGAGCCGCGTCATTATGTGTCGATGGCGTATAATACCACGTTGCAAAAAGTAGGGCGAAAAATGGTCATTTTTTTGTTCTTTTTTTCATTAAATCGTGGATTTCGCAATTTTTTTAAATTTTTTTTAATTTTTTTCAGTGGATATGATGTCCAGTTGAATTTTTTTATGTGAAGTACGGTTATAATTGTTCTTTTCTTTAGGCGAAATGTTCCAGATTTATGGTTACGAACCCGCTGACTAGTGAGAGAATAAATTTAAGTCGCCACCAAATTGGAAATTCAAAAAACCTTGTTCTAAAGCTTCGAAAACAACGATTTTACAAGATTTTAGAAGATTCCAATTTTTGCGCGTTCTTTTCCTTCCAATGGCGTTTTTTTGCCATCGCGGTTTTGGCCCCGGGCGCCCTGGGCAGCGACTTATCAAGAAATGGCCATGGCGGCCTACGTCGGTTTAGAAATGTAAACGTTTGAAAACGCTTAGGGGCGCCATTTCTCCACCTCTGCCTAGTACGGTTAAAAGTTGACTTTATCCACTATTTTTCAAAATTTTGTAAGTCTATTTTTCTCTCCGGATTTTTAGCTCTTTACTTGCCCACATATGTAATCGAGTCGGGAAAAATTGACCCTCGATGATCTTTCAGGGTCGCATTCAGCAAGGCGGCCACCGATGCGGTCACCTTCTCCGGCTACTCGGCAATCCCGATGATCACGACATCGCGTCATCTCAAGACGGCCACCACCACCATCAACTCCTACAGCAAACATCGTCCCAACCGTGTCGCCGAGTCCAATAAGAAACAGGTCCTTGAATGAACTATATGTTCTAAACTTTTGGGACTTTTTTTTGGTAGCCAAATTCAAAGTGTTTCATGGAAAACTGAATGAATGAATTTTGCCTAATATGGAAAATAGGATTTCGGAACTTGTGGGAGGAAGAGGACTTACATGAACATAAAAAGCTAAAAATTATGTTAAAGTTAAAATTTCAGTTATCGATTTTATAAAAATCTTCGTTAGATCAATATTTTCAAGTTCTGAGATCTCATCTTCAAACAAGTTTTTCAAGTTCAGACCTTGTTGAGCGCAAACAAAAAAATTCAGCAAAAAAACAGGGAATTTAGTCACCCTCTTTATAGTCTGTGTACCACGACTTGGAATTTCACCAAACGACACTTCGCTGTGCCGCTGCGCGCCTTTGCGAACCTTGGTCGCGCTTTTAATTTTTTTTTTCCTTTTTTTTTCTCTACTTTCATATGCTCCCACAGCAATAACAATCAATTGAAAGCGTGATCTACATTCGAAAGACGCTTCGCGAACGCACGCAGCGGAACAGCGGAATGTCGTTCCGTGAAATTTCAAGTCGTGCCACATAGACTATAAAACAACAAAAAAAGTCTCACTGTCCGACCAGTCCCTAGCCGAAAGCACTCCTTACTTGTATTTCTTGAAAACTGTATTTTTCTCTGACTTGCCTTGTGTATGTTTCCGAATAAATGGCGGGAGGTCAAAGATCGAAAATGTTTGCAGATCGTCCAAATGCTCATCTCAATCGTTTGCATGTACATTGTTTGTTGGCTGCCGACGATTGGTCAGTTTTTCTTTCCTTTTTTTTTTGATAATTTTCTACAAATCTATCATTTTTGTGCACTTTTCTGCTTGGAACGCATTGAGAACCGAGAAAAGAAGTACTTTTTTGTTATTTTATATATTTATTTCATTCACAAGGGGAAATAGTCATGTTGAGGTTCACATTCGGAGGATACTTTGAAGGCACGTTGGAAAAATGCGGTCGGTTCGGTCGCTTTTTTTCAAAGGAGCCATTTTTTTGAAAAGTTTAAAAGTTTTTTCCGTTCTTAAATGTGTGAGTGTCCAAAAATAGGTAAAAAAATCTCGATTGTGGTTATGTTTCAGGTTTTGAAAAAAACCAAATATTGGGGGGGCTCAAAATAGGAAATTTTGTGTTTTTTTCAATTAATTTCATGTCATTCTTTTAATTTTACCTGAAGTCGAAATGATGTTAATTAAGATTCAAGAGCACGAAAATGGAAAAAAATTCAGAAAAAAATGAATTTCTGAAAAAGACAATGGCCAGAATTATCGGAAACCTGACTTTGAAACTCGTCATATAATGAAGAAATAGGTTCTTTGAACACGTTAAAATTTTTATTAAGCCCAAAGAATTTTTGAAAACTTGGAAAAATGGGCGTCATAAAAAAAAGACCGAACCGACTGACTTTTCCAGAATGCCTACTTTGAACATCGAAGAGTTGGCCAATTTTTGAAAAAATGCCCGAGTGAACCGTAAAATGAGCTTTCTCGATTAGGATTTTTCATCAATTTAAACTCGAAAATGTTCAGTTGACGAGTTATTGACGTCCTTCGGCTACATTTGCCGCACTTCGAACACGCAGACGTTGAAACACATGCGAATGGGCTTCAACGCTCTTGTAAGTTTTGCTCAAGTGGTCCCTTAAATGACCACTTTTGAAGACCTACTGCCAGTCGTGCATCAATCCGATCCTCTACGCCTTCATCTCCCAAAACTTCCGCGCCACTTTCAAATCCGCCTATTCTCGGATGAAACATCGACTTCAGGTAATATATCTTAAGAGTAGTGGTCCCTATAGGGGTTAGGGGAGAAACAGCCCCCAGAGGGTGTAAAATTCAGGAGGTTCTCATAGAGATAATATTTAAGTGGTCCCTATAGGGGTTCAGGACCTGACCGCTAAGATTCTAAAGCTCAAGTGGTCCCTATAGGGCTCATAAATCTCAAGTGGTCTCCTTTCAAAAAACGCAAGATTTCTGACTTTTTCGCATCAAAGTGCCTCATAACAGAAAACAACTAGCTCGCTACCCTATAGGGGCCACTAAACAAAATCCCAATAGGGGCCAGTTTTTCAAGCTTTACTGGCCTCTATAAGTGAAGTGGCCCCTTAAGGAGAACCTTAAAGAGTCTTGCCCCTATAGGGACCGCTCTATCGTTCCTAAGTTTACCGAAAAACCAAAAAATTACCGAAAAAAGAAATTTATATGAAAGTCTTTCAGCATTCTTAGAAGGTCGTTTTTGGTAAGATGTGCGATATTTTATGTTTAGCATGGTTTTAAAGTTGCTGTGATTAGTAGATTTTGGCAATAACTGACTTGTCAAGTGCGCTCTAGCGAAGAAAAGCATTACGATTGGCTGGCCACGCCCCTTTTTTTAATATTTCACATTTATACGTTTTTTTCGCTAGACCGCATTTGTGCTTTCTCGAATAGCTAGAGGAGACTTTTGAGCTTATTCTTTTATAGTTGATCCGGTTCTGAAGAGAGAAAAGTGATCGAGTTTTACAGGGAGTCGAGGAGATCCGGTCGCGTATCGGGTCGTGCTCCTCGGCGTCGATGATGTCCACCAGGAACCATCACAGGATCTACGGGAGCAGTTTCAATACGCTTACGGTTCCTGGAAGGTAAGCTGGAAAGAACAATATCAGAAGGAAGTTTTTTGGAAAATGAACCATTATGAAGCTTTTCTAGACGTTTTTCAGATTTACGGAGTAAATGATATGGAAAAGAAGTTTTTGAGGTGATAGGGGCTCTAGAAAAATTGCTTCTCATAGAATCAACGTGTGGAATAAGAGTCAAAAAAAGATCTCTGAACCTCTTTTTTCGCGCACTATTTCGTAAACCGATCAATAATTGTATCAAGTAGCCCCTCTCAAAAAACACGTCTAAAACTTGAAGTGACAACTTGAATAAAACGTTTACAGGTCAATCATCACGCCGAACATGTCGCGGGACGTCTCCCAACTGTCCCTGTGCCGGCCGGCATCTGGAATGTCGTTCTGTAGGCCTCGAAGTCCGATAGCTCATGATGGACCAACGACTTTCGGGCGGTCAGTCGGCAATTTAAAAAAAACTTCTAGATAGTTTCATTAGATAAAAATGATCATCACTGGGAAAAATTTCGAGATCGCTTCCACTCGGTTACAGTCCCCGCAAAAGGAAATTACGATTGGGGGGGGTGGGGATTGGTCTTATTCTAGAGCCGCCCCCACAGTGCCAAGGGGGAGGGGGCGATTCTAGCATGTCTAGACGGCCCCCTTCAAATCGTTTCGAGACCCATTAGCAAATTAATTGACATATTGGTTGGGGGGATTCTCCCTCATCTTTTTTTAGCCACATCTTTTTGACTTTAATTCTGTATGAGTTCCCGAAAATTTTTTCTTCTCATTTTATAACTCAGAGGAACAAATTTTTGTGTCCGGAACCAGACGGTATTGATTTTTTTGGTTCTAAATGCTCCTCTCTCGAGGTTGGGAAGTCCAGAAGGGCCCTCGATGCTTTCTCTCTAGAAAACGCTTTACCTTCTCCTATGGGAAGCGCTGAAGCTTGAAAAAGTGGCCACTCTAAGGGTTTCAATTAGTGATCACTCTAGGGAGCATGCTAGTGGTCCCCTATACGTATTTTTTTAACTTTTGAATCAGGAAAAATTTAAAAAGGAGACTACATGAATTTTAGCCCTATAGGTGGCACTTTATCGGGGGGGAGGTTTCTTAAATATCTAGAGTGACTACTCAGGAGTTCCCAAGCAAGATATCATTCTGACCCTGAATTTCAGACCACGCTCGCCGACGGACATTTCGCGCGATTCCGGGCGGCCCAGAAGTCCCACTGACCTGTCTCAATCGTCACGACCAACGCCTAGGGGATCATTAAGGTTAATTAATTGATCAATTATCGATTCATCTTCGAACATTTTTCAGGCCTCGAAGCCCAACGAGCGTCTCACAAATGTCGTCGATGGTGGCCGTGAATCGATCGAGAAGTCCGACTGGCATGTCGGTGACGTCATACGCCGTTCCTAATAGGTTCATTCTTACTAGAGAGTGTGTTAAACGAAGATAAATCAGAGAAGCAGACAGTTATTCTGAATTTCGAGAAGCCTAGTCTAAATTATAAAAGATGACGTCAAAAGCGTTACTACTAGAAGAGAGACTGTGAGGATCGAAGAGAGATTAGAGAACGAGAGACTTTGAAGGTTGAAGAGAGATTTGAGAAACAAGCAGTCTTTGAATTTTGAATAGCTTATAGGCTATTATCGTGACGTCATACGCCGTCATTAAACTGTCGCGGCTAGAGTGTCAGGATCGGAGAGAAATCAGATATGCTATAGTGTGTTAAATTGAGAGACATCAGAGAAACAAGATCTCCCTGCTTCTCTAACGTCTCTTCAAGATCCTATAATCTCTAGTTTCACTTACTAGCACATTATTTCAAAACATTATCAATAGAGCGCATTTGATCAAGATCATCATTAGTTATGGTCGATGCAAAGTTTTCCAGAAAGCTTCTATTCTGAAACCAACCTATTTTTTTTATCAATAGGGCGCATATGATAATTCTTCAAAGCGGCTTTTTTCAGGACGCGCAGCCCAACGATCAACTCGAATCAGTCGGCCCAGTCAAATAACTCGAAAAACTCTGGTGAACGGACCCTCGACCTGCTGACAGTCCGCGACGCCGTCAGGCCGAGAACACCGCCAATCGCTTTGTGAAATAAGCCTGAGGGAAATCTAAGTGACCGCTTGAGAAATTTTAGTTCCACTTGGAACGAAAACCTCTTAAGTTGTCCCTTCCTTCAAAAAAAAGCCGCGTTTCTTTTTCCTGGCCAACTACGGGCACCTATCTCAGTGAAGGAATATGAGCATATCGATTTTTTTTTAAATATATATTTTTAGTTCTCAGCTCAAAAATTGATCTCTCACGCGCTAATCGCCGTCTTTCCTCATTTCCTAATAATCTATGGTACTCTTTTTTTTGATGATTTTGAATAGATTCGGATAAAACTCATTCATAACAAAATCAACAATAACGAGACAAAAAAAAAAACAAACAAAATGAGTGGCAAACAGATGATAACAAGGATTATTGTGAGCGTTTGTCTTCTTTATAAGTGCCGTTGAGCTTTTCGCGCAGAATCTTCGCTCCAACGAACGTGTAGCCTTCGAGCCGCCTCATGTGGATGCACTTCCGGATCTTGGAAACGACTTTGGGCGATCCGAGGTCGAACATCCTCGCCAAAATGTGACAACCCTGGAAATCACGAAATTATTGTAAAACTTCTTATTACAAAGAAAACAATTTTACAAGGTATAGCCCGTACGCCGCAACTTGAATGTTTTTTTTACATTGGGATCTTCATGTTTTGTGAAAAAAAAGAAGGAAATCTTCTCCAAAAGTGTTCTACAAAGAGAGAAAATGCGCTCTAACGCTAACATTTGAGTTTTCTTTTTTCTAAGCTTCTACTCGGATTCGCTCCGGACGTTTCTGAGCATTTCTAGGGATCACTTAAGAATGATGACGCTACTAAATTGGTCACTTAAACGCTCTTAACAAACCCTATAGGGGCGAAAAATTGGTCCCTAAAGGGGTGAGATTAAGTTGGTGCCTATAGGGATTTAAGGCCTGGCTCCTAAGGTCCCAAAGATCAAGTGGGCCCTATAGGGGTCTACCCATGTCCTTAAAAAAAAAAAGCTTTTTTATTCAGTCTTTCATGGAAACGTTTCTTCGCATAGAGTCCGGAACAATTATCGAATAGCATGACCCCTATAATGGCCGCTAACTAAAAAACCTATAGGGACCACTTTCGCAAGCTTTAGTAAAACCTAATTATCAAGTCAAAAAATATAGGGGCCACTGTCAAGTTCCCAAGAACAACAAAAGCTCTGATTATCCACGGAGCGCAGATACTTCCTAAACTAGAGCCAGTTTAAAGGCTAAATTTAAAGTCAAAAAAGCACGCTTCATAACTTTTTCAATCACCTTATTACACGCGATCCATGAGCCGAGCTCCTCGTCCGTCAAAGTCTCGGCGAGAGCCGTCGAAAGTCGTTCCTCAGCCGCCAAATCCTTGTCACAACTGAAAAATAACGAAGTTGACGATTTTATAGGAGAAACCAACCGTAGAAGTCCAATCAAGATGAAATTTCCAGATGGGTCCTCAATCATGTGTAAAGGATTGTCCATGGGAACGAACTCCTAGAAAAAAAGTGGTAATATTTCTCAGAAAATCGGATAGTAGAGATTTCCAGCTGCAGAATAATAAAGCTCAAGAAATTCATAATCACCTCATTCGATAAACCCCTAAAAAATTAGTTGATCAAAAAAAAGCTGAAATGAACTAACACGGCTCAAATTTCATTCTGAATTCTCTTGTTTTTTAATTTTCTTTGTGAAAATCGAGACATCCATCATACCCAAAATTTCGTTTTTTTTTCCATGAATATTTTGAAAATGTTCTCCCCTATTCCTTACCCTCTTTGCGATCTCAGCAATCGCCTTGTAGCAAGGTATCCGGTATTCTTTGGGCACATTTCGCGGGAACAAGTCGTGGACAGCTGGAAAATTCAAAATCGATTAAATAATGAAAAAAAGCCTGTTTTTGGAAATTTCATATTAAAGGCTACGAAAAAAACTGAAAAAAATCTGAGAGATGGAAAAATCTCAAGATTATATCGATAGCTTTCTCTGAGGGGTCAAAATGAAACCTGTCCTTTCGAACGCTTGGGATCCATTAAATGATCCTTCAAGTAATTTTTTCACTTTTTTAGTGAACACTTGCTTGCGATTTCCAAAATGGGGTCCTAATTTGCTTTTTCCGAAAGGAAAGACATTCCATTTTTCTTAAGAATCCATACATCCTTCTCGACAAACTTATTTAAAAATCGATTTTCTCTAAAACCAATAAAATCGTTAAAAATCAAGAACCTCATCCATTGTTTACAATTTAACATGAAATTTCACCAAGTTTGGATTCAATTTGCCTTCTGGAGAAAAGAAACTCACTCGGAGTCTCGAAGCAGGCTCCGACGAAGGTCTTTTTCCTCCATTCCATCAAAACTTGCTCCATGTTGGCGACGAGGAACGTGTAGAGTGCCTCGCTGATTCCCTCGTACAACTGCTGGTAGCGGTCTTCTCTGGGCTTCTTCGAGTGAGGGTTTCCATCGCCCTGAATTGAATATGAAATTGTTGGAGATGACGTTTATATTATTACTGATTCTAGAATGTTCTAAACCATTTTTTAGCTTTCTAAAATGTTTCACATTGTTCTCGAATTTTCTATAGTTTTCCACGGGTCTCTAAATTTCTGGAATGTTCTATCTTTAATTTTTATAAACCCCAAAAAGGAATGAGAAAAAAATAGTAGAAAATCTGAAAATCTCTCAGAATACTACTTTTTACCCTATTTATATTTTAATACAATCGCATTGAATAATCCGGCTATGACAAACTCTAAAAAACTTTTTTCCAGCCAAAAGAAGGAGGAAAACAGAAATTTGTAGATTTCACGCATGAACTGTTCATTTTCAAAAAGCTTTTTCTCATAAGTCTATGGGGTTTAGTAGATAATCTCTCTTGTTTCCAAGTACTCTTACCCAGGTCTATAAGCCACCAAAGTTTCAACTCGAAACGCGTACCCGAGTAGTTCTCTAAAAAGCGCAAAAGAACGAGGCGAAAGACCCCAAGACCATGTTTTCAGCTTGATCAACTACACGTTTTGATTTTTGGTTCGTTAAAGGCGGTTGTTCTTCATACTTCCAAAGTTCCTGATGATGATTACATCATAGGGGACATTTGTAAAGATTTTTCTTCTGAAACTCCCAGAATCTTCTCAATTTCTTTTTACCTTTCTCGGATGTTCTATTTATTTCGGGACGGTTCTGAAATGTTCCAAATTTCATTCTTATCTCAACAATCTCTAAACTCCACATTTTTCTGTACCTTTTAATATTTTTCAGCCCTATATACCCCCCTTTTTGTAAATACCCATTTTTGTTACCAATAAAAAATGTACTCGAACATTTTCACTGGTAGAACAAAAATCAAATTCATTCAATTTTCCATCTTATTGAAAAGTTACCCTCGACAAATAGGCATACGGAGCCATTCCAGTCATTCGAGCGTCCCGTGGGTGAACAAGATACCGAATTACGAGCTCCCCGTACTTGTCCTCGATCACCTTGCTGATCTCATTGCCCAATTCCTGGAAATTCATCAATTTCATTTGATTAGTTTCATAAGTCTTACCGAAACAATGTACTTATTGACCAAAACAGTATCATCGACCGTATCGAAAATCGCCAAAAGGACACGGTAACCGTAGTGTTCGAGAGCCGCCTTCACAGCCAGGCCTTTGAAGTTCTTCACAATCAGCTGAAAATGAGTGAAATTCGGAGAGCTTTAAAGATTTCTACACAGAATGACGGCCTTTTGGGCCTTAAAAAAATATTTATCTGACCAAAAATCATCCCTGATATAGAATTTTTCCCATTTTTCAGTTTCAACTTTAATTTTCGAATTTTTCTTCTTGTGGAGAATTTACCAACCAAATTTTATCTCCTAAAATGGTAAATTTCTTTGAAACCTTTTTTTCTCTATAATTCTTCTCGGACTCATTCGATCCAAAGTCCAGCAAATTGACTGAAAAAATCGAAAAGTCAACCAAAAATATTTCGTTCTAACTACCAAAAATACTTTCTACCTTTCAAACTTACAATGGGAACAATATTTTTGTCTTTCTTATTCCATTAACACTCAGCCAAAATATTTGTTCTCACTGAAGTTCCCTAAAATAAACCCGAAAAATAACTCTCTGAAGTTGAAAGTTTTTTGCCAAGTGATCTACTTGCCCAATTTAAACCTAACTTTTTCTAAATTTTCGACCGTAAAAAGCGAAAATTTAACAGTATTTCGACATTTTGCAATTTAATTTTTCACTTTTTTTCTCTCTAAATTCCTCCTTGGGCATCATTCGATTCATTTAGCCAATGAAAGAAAGCGAAAATTCAAAATTTACCAAAAAAAGTGTCGAAAAATCAATTTTTTTTCCTCCCTGAAGTTCCCCAAATAAAACCCGAAACTACCTCGCAAAAACTGGAATTAAAACAAGAAAAATGAACCCAAACCTACCTCCCTGAAGTTGAAAGTTCATTTTTATGTTTTGCTGTACCTGCCTCTTTACATCAAAAAAACCTAATTTTGCTACATTTTTGACCGGAAAAAGTAGAAAATTGATCTTATTGAGGCATTATTCCTATCTATTTTCGTATTTATCTATCGTGTCAAAATAATTTATCTATTTTAGTCTTTGTTCATTCCCTGTACAATTTCCACCCCTCTAACCTTTCTCTCCTTGGCCGGGGCGAACCAAATCAACTGCATGGCGAGTTTCGAGCCTTCCGGCGTGTGGACCATGTGCGGGATTTTGTCAGCCAACGAGCCGAGGAGGCTCGTTTTCCGTTCGTCGTCGCAATTTTCAAAGTATTCAAGCATGAGTCGGTGCGTCAGCGAGTATTGAACAGTTTCTCTGCAAAAATACTTCATTTTACCGATAATAAAATGTCTCGAAATCACTTGGAAACAAGGGCGTCGACGATTTCTTCCATGTGGTTGATAATGACCGTCTTTTTCTCCGGGGCGATTTCCAGGAGACCTTTGAGGTCTTTGCAGTCTTCCTGAGAGGAAAATATTTTAATTTCGTTTCCATAAATTCCAAAACAAACCCTGTATCGGGTCATATCGCGTCCGTACAATTCGAACATGATATCCGCACGTTGTGCGGCGTTGGCCACGTCATTGTACGCGAATTCCAGAATCTTAAGATTATAATTTCAGGAAGATTTTCAAAAAATTGGGACAGCATCAGGGCGAAAAAATTCGAGAAAAAAATTTTGAAATTTCTTAAAATAAAATACTGTCTAAGTCTGAACAAGAAAATCCAAAAAAAAACATTTTTTCGAACGATTTTACAGAGAAATAACCTTTCAAGGACATTATTTACGTGATAAAATCAAAAAATTGGCATAATTCTTGTATATAAACCCTCCAGAAAGAAATATTCCAAAAATTATTCATCTTGTAGCAAATTTAAGATGATTTATATAATGAATTAGAAAAATAACTGCAGGAATCTACTAAAACAAAGAAAATAAAAAGAAGTTTTCAATTAAAAACGGGGATATATCTAAATCTACTTCAAAACTCCCCAACTTTTCGTAGGATCAAATCAGAAATTTCTTCTCTCTCTGCAATATTCCTATTGAAACGAAGAAAAATAATAATAAATTTTTTTAATTTCAATAAAAAAACAAGGAAATATCTAAATCTACTTCAAAAACGCCCCCAATTTTTTTCGTGGGATTTAATCACAAATTTCTCATTTTTTTTCTACAATATTTCTATTGAAAAAAATGAATCATCAATTTTGAAAAAACAGGAATTTACCTAACCTACTTCAAAAAAATCCTCAATTTTTTTCGTAGAAAATAATCAAAAAAATCCTTATTTCTTCCCGAAATTCTCTTAAAAATTCCCTAAAAATTCACCTTTGCCGCGTTCGAATTCCGCAACATCGAAGACGCATGGCCCTTGAATTTGTCCAAAATTTCCTGCTTTTGTTCTTTTGACCTGAAAATATGAAAGTTCTCCCACTCGAAGGCATTTTTCCTATGCAAATACCCATTTTTCAGGAGTTTCTGGACGAAAAACTTCGCATATGTGCTCTTGGCCATCGTCTGCAGTTCCGGCTTCAGTTCTTCGAACACTAAAACAGAAAAAATTTACAAACCGATAAAATCTGATAAAAATACAATTTTTGATAATTCCTTCACGGCCGGTCATCACCAAGCATTGGATAACTCGGCAAGTGTCATGAGCGTAGATCAAATTTTTTGCGATTCCCTGGAAAATTTTTCACTTCTATTTGGCAAGCAGTTTTTTTCAAACCTTCACAAGGCCGACCAGTTCCGTGATGCACTTTTCCTTAACCGATTCTGGCGTTTTTTCTCTGAAATTTTGATATATTTGGTAAAATTCACAGTAAGAGCTGCATAATTGAGGGGACAGAAAGTTAAAAAAATTCGCAAAAAAATCGAAATTTTTTTGATCAATTATTTTAATGGCGAAAAATGCAGCTTTTTTCGTGTGTAGGGGGCAAAATTTTTAGTTTTTTTATAGGGCTTAGGATCTAACCCACTAGCCCGTACAGCTCAAGTGGCTTCTACAGGATTTCTTGATTTTTTTGTATTAGTTTGAAAGTTAAAAAGGGACAGACTTGATCAATTTATTTTTTTCAAATAATGCTTATTCATTGAGAACTAAAATCCCTCTAGGGATCACTATCAAAAAATGAAGGGAAACAAATCTAACTTCCAAAATAACTACTTTCTTGGTGAGAAAAAAATATTTTCGAATTGAAATTCCGGGTTTTGTTCAAATTATCGATAAAAACCCTTGAAAACAACTAACGCTCGAATTTTCTCCCACAACGCTTTGCTTTTCTCCGCCGCTTCCAGATGCGGGTTCTTTTTGGCGTGCAAAGTGCGCAAAAACGCTTTCCGATCCTTTTTATTCATTTGCAGGAGCTGTTCTTTCACGCTTTTCGTCACCTAAAACACGATTTCCATTTCCAAATACACTTTTTGAAAATTACCCGAATCGAGATTCTTTTCTTCGTTTTGAAAGCCTCGTTTGTTTCTGGGCCGTTTTCCTTATTTTCTTCGGCAAAATCTTCATTTTCCGTTTTTCTCCGCTTTAGAGGTGGCTTTTTCTCGTTGGAGGGCTCACTTATCAGCAACTTTGCCTAAAATTCAGTTTATAATAAAGCTGAGAGGTGGAAAACAGAAGGTCTCGAGCCTTTATCCGCCTTACTTTAGATCATACAATACTTCTGTGCCTTCAAACTACCTAGAAAATGATACAAAAATGAACTTTATTGTTTAATATCACAATGAGAACAAAAATATCACAGGAAAAAACAATTTCGTTGATGAATCAGTGGATTAGATCCTTTTCTGTGGCTTCAAATTGGAGACAAATTATTATCTTCTAGCCCGTCATATTTTTCAGCAGTCCGTTTTGAAACTTTCAATTCTAGAAGGCGCAGAAACATTGCAAGACCTAACAAAATACTCTCAAACACCGCGAATTTATAAAAAACACTCAAATTCCGACTCTCCTCGACGTTTTAATTCATGAAATTCCATTAGAAAATTGAAAAAGGTGACAAAATAACAATTATGCGAGTAAAAACAGCTTTCTTTCCATTACACGCTATCCGTGAATAAAGTCATCCACTAACTTCCTTCATGGCCTCTTTTCGAGAGCCCTTCGACAGGATCCCCTTCACCGGAGTCGAGAAATCTTTCCTCTCAGGGAAAGACCCTTCGTTGATTCTGATTGGAGTCGAGGATTCGAACGTTTTTGTGTGATTTTGACGAGAGAATGAAACCTGAAAACATTTCTTTTAATTTCTATCGATCCTATTTAAAATTACCCTCTTCTTCTCCTTTTTAGGAGCCGGCTGGCTACCGAACGACGACTCGGTACACACAGAATCTTTCGTATCCTCGTCGCTGACCCGCATTATATGATTGAGCTCTTTTTCCTTCCGCTTCTCCTCGATTTTCTGTACCCATTCTTGATTCAATTGCGAAAGACGTTTCTTGATTGGCGTGACGAGCTGAAACATAATTTATATACAACGTACACAGAAAAAAACTACCTGATTGGCTCTTTCCTTCTTTACAACCTTCTTTCCTCCTTTTTTAACACCTGCCGTCTTCACCTTCTTCTTTGGTTTTGGTTTCACGCCAGCTTTCACCATGCTACATGAAAAAAAATGATCTTTTTCAAGAATTAACCAATCATATCGGAAAAGCAGCTTCGAAAAAAGTTTTAAAAAAATTCTTGTTACAAGTTAGTGGGTAAAACTTCTTCTTCGAATCAAATACTACTGGATGAATTGAATTTATAAAATTTAATATAAATGTTGGAACTGACAAAAGGAACAAATGAGCTGAAATTTAACGGAAAGTTTGAAAAGCATCCTTTTATTCCTAGTTTCACGGATATCGATTATCCAAAAATCATTCAAATTAGTATATTTTGAAATAAGCATACCATGTTACTTAAAAAAACAAAAAAAGAAAAATATTATGCAATAAAAAAACAATCAGAAAATGAAAGAAAAAAGGAAACAGAAAAAAAAACCAAAGGAAGAAGTATTTAAAGGCGCATACGTCTGCGCCCTCTCGCTACCCTGCATTCTCTCTTCAGTTTTCCTTTCAAAACTATTTTTCCACCCTCAATTTTTGAAATCATCACCGAGTTCCTTTTCATTCTTTTTTATTAATTTTTCTTCTATTATTTTTCCAAACGTTTTTTATTCATAGGCATTTTTAGTCATGAGCTCCATCGGCACCGGGTATGATCTCGCCGCCTCGACCTTTTCTCCAGATGGCCGGATTTTTCAAAGTTTTCTTTATTTCTCAATTCTTACTTATTTCGTTTTTCAGTCGAATACGCGCAAAAAGCTGTAGACAATGGTGGAACAATGGTTGCTTTACGAGGAAAAAATGGTGTCGTGATTGCTGTCGACAAAGTTATCACGTCAAAGTTGTACATTGATGTGAGTTTTAAATAACTATTTTTATTTTATAATCATTTTTGTTCAGGATGCAAACCCTCGCATGTTCAACTGCAATGATAATGTTGGTATGGCGATTGCTGGAGTTTATCCCGATGGTTTCGCTCTAAAGGTAGGATTTTTTAAATGTGCTCATTTTAATGGAATGATTCAGGATTATGCTTGTGGCGAAGCTATCAAATGGCTCAAGGAGTACCGAGAACCTATGTCTGTGCAAAAGCTGGCCACTTCTGTCGCCGAATACATCCACATTTTCACTTTGGGAATCAGCCGACCGTTTGGCGCCTCGGCGTTCTTTTCCGCGTGGGATAAAAAGGTTTCGACATAAATTTTAATGAAGAAAATGTAGCATCTTTTTATTTTTATTTGAATGAACCATTTTTTGTTTTTTGTTTTCATAGTTGTTGAAACCATTATTTTTTTCAATTCCAGAAGGGCGGTCGTCTTTTCCTGGTCGAGCCTTCTGGCCTAAACTACGAGTACAAGGCTTGGGCCGTAGGAAAGCATCGTCAAGCTGCCAAGGTTCATTTTCGTCCGTTTTCATCAATATCTATTTATTTTTTTCAGGCTGAGATCGAAAAATTGAAGCTGGACCAACTCGATGTTCAAGATTTGGTCAGAGAGGCCGCCCGTATCATTATCGCCATTCGTGATGAAAATAAGGTCTTTCCATCTTTCAATAGGTTTTCATTCATGAATTTTTATTTCAGGATAAGGACGTCCAAATTGAAATGGGATGGGTTGGAGAGAACACCAATGGAAAGCACGAGGTTAGTTTTATCTATCCATTTGTTTTGTTATATAAGATTGAAATGATGACTGTGTTAATTATTGGAAGGTGGTTTTAACTTTCTCTAGGGATAAGAATGTTATTGGAGTTTTTTGTCAATCTTTAAAAAAAATTAGAAGGTAGAAGTGATGGAGTTGATTTTTATTTGCTGGAATCAGAAATCTAAGATCGAGAAATCGTGAATTAACGTGAAAATGATGATTTTGGTAAAACTTTTTATGGAAGGAACATGACGGTAATAAGAATTTTTTTATTCGTGATAAAAATTTTTTTGAAGATTCAATCAATTTTTTTAATGCAGTTTTTTTGAATTTTTTTGAGACTTCTTATTTTTCGTTTTTTTGATGCGCTTTTTTTGGAGTTGCTATTTCTGTTCATTCAAATTCAAACGCTTAGTTGTTCTAAAAGAAAGTTTGAATTTTATGCGCTAATTAACGTCGGAGAACTCTTGTTTTACACTTTTTCAAGGGATTTTTTTTCATAAACGTCTTTCTTCGTTTCATTTTAAGTATCAGTTTGGGGTTTTTGTTACGTTTTTCGCTTTTTCAGTTCAGAATGAAGTTCCAGGAGTTTTTTTTGACTTCTTTGTATGCTCCATTGACAATTTTCATGTTCTCATGTCATTTTAATAAAAAAAAATGTAAGAAAAGCTTATTCTCTAATTTGAAATTGCTCTAATGTCCATTTTCATAACTTTTCTGTGTTCAAGGTGGTCCCGGACGACGTTTTGTCGGCGGCAGAAGACTGGGCCAACGCCAAGTTGGAAGAAGACGACATGGAGGAATAAAAACCTTAAACACCTGCAAAACCTCTCTTTTTTGGCCTATGAAAGAATTAAAATTAATTTATTCTCTAGTTTTCATCTTCTCTTCGTGTGCACCACATTTACCGGTTTTCTTTTCTCCCATTCTTTTTCAATCTTGTTTCCCATGGACTATAAAAATCTTTTTCATAGGAGAACGTGATATGTACAAACAGCTATGTAGGGGGGAAAACAATCACTGAGAGCTGATAAAGCGGAGCAAAAAAAAAACAATTTTTTCATAATTTTTCAAGCCGCCCGGATCGTTGAATTGTATTCGTGTTCTGTTGATTTTCGACTTTCGATACAGTCAAAAACGGCGTCTCTCAGGTGTCGATACGTTCTCGTCAGCTCGCCCATTCCTGTTTTCAAGCCATTCGTGACGTAGGAAATGACGATCTTAATATTGAGCTTTTGAAAGAAAAATTGAATTTCTTCTTTTTTTAAATTTAAAAACCCTTCTTTTTTTCCCTCTCAAACTCTATAAAAAGAAGAGACTTGACTTAGAAATGGCTCTAATATGAGCAATAAAAAAAGGAATAAAATCAAGAACTGCTTTAAAAAAATATCCATTAAAAAGCTTAGGTATCATAAAAATCTCATTCAAAAAGTCTCTAATATGAGCAACAATTAGCAATACTCGTTCTAATTGATTTTTACGATTTTTTTCATGAAAATTATCACGAAGCAAACTTCAAAAAACTTCTCACAGCTCTATAAAATAAAATCCCCTCACATCTTCCTCCAAATCCATCATTACCGTGCTGCCACCGTATCCAGGATGTCCCACGAGCCAACGATTCTGGAAAAAAGGCTCAAAATATTCATTTTAAAATCTTCCTAACCCCTCCCAACGGATGTCGTTCATACAGGAAACCGTGTCCTTTCGGCAATGGCGTCATGACAACCTCATCCAGTCCAGTGGCCACTTGAGGGGTCTTGAATCGGTTGAGAAGCTCCTTAAGTGATGAAACAGTTAGAAAAACGGTCTGATTCTCTCTTTTTTCATAAAAATAATGGAAAATGGAAATAGCATATGAGCACGAGAGTGTTCAGACATGTCAGAGAGTTTCAAATCGTAGAAAATAGAGTGAAAATTGAACCAAATTTGAATCCTAGAAAGCTTTTTTTTTCTAACCGTCTGCGCTCTCTGACTCTCTCGCTTCATATCGAGACATTATGGGAAAATGAGAGAGAACAGACAAACTTGTGAAAATTTGACTCTGAGCCTCATCTAACTCCAAATTCACAACAAGAAAAAACTTGCGACCATGTATGCGATATTGATTACTACTCAAAAGGTCACGGGTTCGATCCCTACCTTGCTGAAAAGTTTGCCTTCCTGAACGAGATTGAACAACTTGGCGAGGTCGCGCGCCTTGGTGATCCCTAGAGCGGCCACTTGTTCCATTCCATGGAGTTCAGGGTCGTTGAACGTGTTGATGTCCTAGAAAATAAGCTTTTTTTTGGATTTTGAGTACTAATTTTTTGATGAACCTGCTCCAATTTGAACCAATTCGGGTTGTCGCGAACTTTTCTAGCGATGGACATTGGCGGCCGGAGGTTGAACACGGCGAGGACTATCAGAACTCTGAAATTTTCTTGGCTTAGAATATCCATAGCGGTCCCTATAAGTGCAACCTTATGTACCCTTGGAGGGTCCCCTCTAGGGACCACTTCACCCCTATATGGGTCACTGAAGCTTGCAAAAGTGGTCACTATAAGGGACATGCTAGTCGATAATTTTCTAAACAAATAACTTTTTTTGACGAAAATTGAAATATCCCTATAGGGACCACCTTGCTTTTACCCTATTTAGTAGCTACTCAAGTGTCCTCTTTAGTACGTACTATTAGACCACCAAAAACTACTGTAGTGGACACTTTGACACAAAATAGTGAAGGTGGTTTCAGTGCCCCACTTTAGTGTCATCTTCAAGTAGCCCTTAAAGAACCTTTTAAGTGATTACTGGAGGACACTAGCTATTTCAATAGCCCCTTGAAGTTGATTCGAGCCGAAAAACAGTTGATTTAAAGAAAAAAAAGTATTTCTAAAAATCACAAGTACAAATGCGCTCTATAGAGAAGACTGCAAAAGTTCAAAAAACATAAATTTTTAGGTCTTTTTCTAAAGAAGCTTTAAAAGTTCCCCTTTAGATTTTTTGTATTACATATGGCTTTTGTTCTGGAAAACCTTGGATCGTAGATGATCTCCTTGAAAAGGTGCATGGTCGGCGGAAGGGACAGTCTCGAGACGGTGTGTTCTTCACTGGGGGGCAGGCCGATGTGGAAGTCGATTCCTTTAAAAAGGAAATCAAGCTTTTTTTTGAGGATTCAGTTATGTATTTCTTTATTTAATCACGAAGTTTGGACTGAAAAGTGGAGAATTTCATTCTAGACGGAAAAAAATGTCATTAGCCAGCTGAAAACTCGAAACCAACCATGCTTTTCGGCGACCTCTTCCCTGAAGAACTGTCCGACGGAGCGATGTTTCGGATCGGCACGTCTCACGATCTGATCAACGATCCAACCGTAGGTGATGGCATGGTAGCCGCTCTTGGTGCCGGGCTCCCAGTTTGGCGTCTGTTTGGCGATCACTTCGGACATTTTGTCAAAGTTTTTCGCGTCGGCGATGCTGATGGGCTCGTCGAGGGCGGCAAGGCCGGCCTGGATAGGTTATTGTAGCGGAGGTTTTTCATAAATTTGCTCAAAAACTCATTTGGTGGACTAAGAAGCGACCCTTATAGTCGCTATCCGTCGAAAAAATAATGGCAAAAAAGCTGGCGGCAAAAGGATTCGAACCTTCATACTGGGCTCCGCAAGCTAACGCGCTAGCCACTGCACCACGCTACTAGCTGCCATGCAACGGTTGGTGGCGCGGCCAGATACTTTCCAAACGGTCTCACGTGTTGAAGGGCAAAAAGTTTAGAAAATAGTTTTTCCAAAACTAGAAGTTTGCGCAGATAGGGACTATGTGGGATCATTTAGATCATCAATCAAAAAAAAAAACATTACAGAGCAAAATCTAATTTTTTCGAGCCCAATCTTCATTTCAGGGGAAACTAACCCGATGGGTCATTAACCAGTCGATCGTGATATTTTCCTTGCCATTCTGAGCGAATTCCGGCCAGTACTTGCTCATTTTGTCCTCGTAGGAGATGTGGCCACGATCCACTAGCATCGCCACGCAAACCGCACCTACTGCCTAGAGAAACTCCGATCATTAGGTGCATTTCGAACTGTTCGACAACCTTCGTGGTGCTGAACACGACGGTTCTAGTTTCAGGCGTCCATTTTCTGCCCGAGGCCTTGTCGGCGTAGCCGCCTTGAAGGTCGACAATCAATTCTCCCTTGTGATACACAGCGATTGCAGCTCCTTCACGTTCCCAGCCATCGTGAAAGTTTTTGCTGCAAAAAGTACAATTTGTTAAAAACAATAACCTCGTTTTCATTTTACAGGATCATAAAAAAAAATAAAAATTCGAAAATTATTACGTAGAACCTCAGAAACAGTTCAAATCATTGAGAAAAGTTGAAAAAGTCGGTATTTGTACAGCCTCACGTGAATTGACAAGATATTTGTCATTGAGGCATGAATATGATATAACAAATATTCAGGAACGATTTTGAAAGGGAAAAAAACTCTAAATTACTTATTACGCAATGGAAATAAAAAAATATATATCTCCCATCGCATAAGCATTCATAAATATGAAAGAATAAAAAGAAGAAAAAAAACTTTGTAAGGCTGATTGATTAATTAAGTTCGAAAACCCATCAAAAAAATAGAAAAATAATGTGATTCAGATTATTTATATTATAAAAACTTCAAACTGTATTTGCTGATTGAATTTGGCTCCAAGTGACGCGAATTAGGTTTCTACAAGAGGAGAAAACGATACAAAACCGCGCAAGAAAAACTTTGAACTTTGAAAAGTTTTTTAGTGTCTCCACTAGCTCTACCTTTCACGTCATATGACCCTTTTTATTTAGAGAATTTTATTTAGAATAAAAAAACTTCCTTCTCTTCAAAAAAAAAACGTGAACCCCGGGAAAGGTCATTTTTATGTCATCGAAAAAAAACACGCACAAAAAACCACGTGGCAACGTGTCATTTCTTCTTGTAAGACCTGGATTCAAATCTCATTTCTTCTTTCTTCACCACTCCGTCTTGCTTCTGCGCTCTACGTCAAGATGAGTTTTAAACCTCCATTAAACTTAAAATTTCAAAATAGTTATCTTAGTAGTAAGCGCTAGTAGATTAGGTCCGCGGGACTCCCGGAGTGCCGATCCTTTTTGCTTGCAAATCGGATACGCAAAGTCACGTCGAGGCCCATTCCTGTGGCCGAGGCATAAACTGTTGGCAGCGCGATGCTGACAAAGCGATGATGGGACCCCCGCGGAAAATGCCGTCACGGCCTTCGGCGTCTAGGTTTCTCAGTTCTGACAAGGCCGAGCGGAGCCCTAGCGCACCGCCTAGTTAGTTCTTCTAACTTCACAAAGCTTCCTTAACTTACTTATGACTTTACATTACTAATCAGTCAAAAGATTGCGATTCGAACAATGAATAATCGACTTGCTTTTTTCAATGTTTAAATAATTGCAGAAAGCTCTCAACGAAAAATTTCTGATCGATGGAGATTCGACGCCAACTTCAAATAGTGCAGTTTGTTATTTAAAAAATTATTTTTAAATTACTTTTCTTTCAGAATTAACTTCTGGAGCACTGAAAATTAGATATCGTCTACTACTAGAACAACTGATGGGAGGTTAGTTTCGAAAAATTTTATAATGAGGAAAAAAGGCATGACTTTATTAACACTGAATTGAAGCCAGAAAAACCTTGATCCGATATCATGCATAGGCAAAGTCGGAAAGGGTGGAAAAAACCTCGTAGAAATGTTCCTTTTTGCTGCCTTTTGCGCCATTTCATCGGCTCTTGTGCGCCATTTTTGCTGCCTCTCCCTTTTTCCACCATTTCTTGAGTCTTTTAGAATTCTAGAAAAAACATAATGCTCAATAAAGGGATTTTTTTTTGCTCCCTTTCTGCGATTTTTATTCAGCCTCTCCTTTTAAACGGCTTTTAAACACCATTTCGACACTGGCAAAATCGGAAGTGCGAAAAACGGGTCAGAAAGGAGAGACTGCAAAATGGTGCTGAAAGTCTCGGCCATTGATTATTTCCGATTTTATTACTGTAGCCCATTTTGGTTCATACACAGTCACTGATATAGATTATTCTCAACTTTAAAAACTTTTGTATTTCTCAAAAGGGTCCAAAAAGGGTGGATGAAGGCCGATGAAAGGACGGAAAAAGGCAGTAAAAAAGGAAACCGTTGCCACCCGTTTAGGTACAGTAAATGGAAACTTTTTGATCCATAACGGACGCTCCAAGGGCCCGTAAAGAGTCCTTCCGACTCTGCCTATGAAGATAAATAAACATTTGGAAAATGTGGTTGTTAGGAACTCTCACGCCAGATTCGGCGGTTTTATTTGGTTTGTACAAATCGCGATAAATAATCGATTATGATTCGAGGCCGCAGACACTCTGGCTGCGCAAAAAAAATTAACTTTACGAGCAGCTCTTTTTAATTCAACTTTTGTATATATCTCATATTTTTCAGCATTTGAAAGTCTTTCATCTTCGAAAATTCAGACAATTGCGATGACAAGAAGACGTTTCCCAACTATGGCGGACAGAGTCCAATCAACTGCGAAGCCGACTAAACAATAACAGGTACCAGTCCGATGCTCTTAAAAGCAGCTGAGGGCTTTTTTGTTCTGTGTTTTTGCAAAGGACGAATAAAACAGCAGTAAATTTGAAATCGCGAAATCGCTCATCAATGTCTGACCCCTATTTTGAAATTCGCGAAATCATTTCGAAAAGGGCATGAATAGCTTCCAAAAAGGAGAAAAACTCGGACATTGGTGACGCGAAACGGACGTGTCCGGGCATTTCTAGTGACCACTTTAGTAGTTTCAGCATTCTTGAGGGATCCCTAGACTTGCTCATAATGCCGTGTTCGAAGTAATTTCCGCGAAATGCAAAATAGTCTCTGACTCTCCAAAATTAAGCTATATTTTCCTGTCTCTAACTGGTATATATTTTGCATTTCGCGGAACCACTTTGAAAAAACGTCAGGAGAACGTCCTTTTGGCGTTACCAATGTGCGTGAAGGTAGTGGCGTGTTCATCAGAGAAACAGAACATGCTTCAAAACGTAAAATCGTGCTCGCGCGGCGCGCTAAAATGCTCCAAATGTTTGGTTTGGAGCAATTTTTTTTGCGTTTCGAAGCAATTTTCGTTTTGTCCGAAGAACACGCCATAAAAGAAAAAATATGAATCAATGAGACGTGAAAAAAAGAATAAATCTCTTTTCAATTTACCTGATGCAAGCTGTACAAATACCGGAGGCTAAGATTGATCTCTCGGAAATAGTGAAAAAGATTCAAATTTAAAAGTTTCTTTTTTTCAAGCAACAATGAACCATTTTCTTAATTTCGAGACACGTTTCACTTCAGTCTGATTAAAGCTAATGAGAAAAATACAAGGAACACATGATATTTATAAATTTTAAGATTAAAAATTTTTTTATCAAATAAATTTTGCGCGTGTCGGCTCGTTTAATACGTAAGGAGTCAGTGTGCTCAGAAAAAAACGGCCTACTGTACCCCTATTATTTTTTTTGTTTTTTTGGTTCTCTATTTATTCTCATTTTTTTATTCAATTTAATAAATTGGTACAAAAAAACATGAAGACCTAAAAATTAAAAAAAAATTCCCTTTGCGATTAAAGTCGAAGCCGATATTTATTATATACCGGGCTGGTTATATAATAAATAATACCGGTACTTCAATTTTCTTTCTCATCTCAATCGAAACCGCCGTTTTTCATAATCGCCCCGAATCCGGTCTCGACAAGGGAAAAGGAACATTTGCCGCCAAAATGCAAAATCGTGACAAAATGGCAGGGAAAGTGAAAAAAAAGCGACGTTCACTTTTTGATGGCTTCATGGAGATTTGCCGCCTCAAGCGATTGAAAAAAGAAAAGCAAAGCGATAGCGTCTATTTAACAGGAAAAAAGTTGAATTTTACACTTGTTTTTCTTTGTTCCATTATTTTCCTTGTACTCATGTTCTCGCCTATTGTCCTTTGTTTACAACCACAACAAAAATGGGTATTGTGTCGTGAAACCGTGTGGAAAAGCGGGGGAAAATGTTCGAGGTCGAACTCGATTTCCAGTTCTTGGGCCGTTGCGTCATGTCTTTTCATAAATCCTCCCACTATTCATACACCCCAATAACGTGCCAAAACAGGTGGTCGTAAACGGCCACGTTCAATTTTCAAGAGGAAAGCATTGTGAATCATATTTGTAGTGGTCTTGGGGCTTATTTGACAGAATTTCCAAGGAAAAATTTATTTTTCTTCTCATAATTCTCACGAGGAGATGACTTTAATCGGAGTTCTTTCAAAAATTGGCGAGGTATGCTTGAAAAGTCTCGGTTCGGTTGCTTTTTTATGATGGCTATTTTTTCAAGTTTTCGAATTTGAAAAGTTGTTTGAGCTTTATGAACGTGTTAACGGTTTCAAAGTGCTTATTTGTTCATTACATGACGAGTTTCGAAGTCAGTTTCCCAAGCTATAGCAGAGACTCCTGCAGGCTAGGAATCGAAACTTTTCAGTAAAAAAATTTGAAAAAAAGACTCCCAAGTATAATTTAGCTGTTTCAGGATCTTTTTGAAATCTAAATAACTAAAAAAATCAAGCATCAGAATAAGGGTTGGAATGCAGTTTTTACACAGAAATAAGCGAAATGACTCAAAAAATCAGACAGAATTTTTTAGGCTATTTTAAAGGCGCATGCACAGAAACAGGCCGCGCGTATTGAATAAATTTTGTAGCTTGAAGAAAAATGTTTGAAAAGAACCTTTCGTGGGTAATATGGGCCGATTCTGGTAATCGAAAAAAAGGGTCCTGACACGTTTTTCAAAACGAGACAGCGCCTGGTCGGTGGAGAGCACAGAGAAAAACGAAGACTCACCGAAAGACTTTCTCGACACGTTCGAAGCCAGGCTTGACGGAGCCGATGAGGTTGTCGAGCCGCATGCCGCCGCAAATTAGGTCGACGATGGTGGCGAGGAGAAGCGCCGCCCCCGCGGCGACGGCCGCGCCTCGACCCGCAAGCCGAACCTTTGGCGGCACAACCCAAGCACTCGTCCGCATTGTCATGCCTCTGAAATGAATAAAAACTACTCGGGCGAAATAGGAATAGTGGATAATGACCGCTAAAGTGGGAGAAGCTCAAAAAAGGCCGCAGAAAGGTAGCAAAAAGGCTCAAAAAAGGCCACAGAAAGGCGGCAAAAAGAGTCTTTTTTATGAAGCCTTCCATTTTTCCAGATTTTTAAAGACTCAAGAAATGATGACAAAAGGGAAAGGCAGCAAAAATGGTGCAAAAGGGCCGATAAAAGGAGCAAAAAGACAGCAAAACAAGAACCTTTGCCGCCCTGAAAGGGACGTTTCCATGGGTTTTTTGAGTTTGCCGAGTGATTTTTCTCGTAAGAAAAGTTCACTTTTGTGGTTGGGATTGTGCTGAAAAATTGACCAGAAGACTCATTGAGAAACCGAAAAATGTTTTAAGTCTTTATTTCTCGAAAACTGGAAAGCTGTAGAGGTTGAAACTTCTTGAATTTTTTTCTGGTAGATAAATTATCGTTCTGGCCATTTTTCAATGAAATCCCAAGCGCAAAGAGAAACTACTCCCCTTTTTAGTCTCCGGCCCAACTTTTGATAAAACTAGGCAAAAATGAGGACCATTCTGACAGAAAAAAACAAGGATTTGCATCCAAGTTATGACGCTTCAGAGTTTTCGAATCGAGCAAACATGGAGAGAAATCGGCTTTTTTTTTTCGAAAAACGAGAACTAGTTCGGGAATTTTTTCCCTGGTCTCATTGAGTCTAAAAGTACGATTTTTCTTCTTCTATTTGAATTTCAACAAAAAAAAACAGTTGAAAACAGTTCTCTTAGAAAGAAAAATAATATTTAGATGAGTCGCGGAGAAAAAGTAACCAAGTAAATAGAGCGGCAGCAGGAGACAAAAAAAAAATTCTCGAGCATTTTGCGCCTCTTGAAAATCAATAGATGCTTTATGTTCTAAAAAAGTTACAATTTTTATATTCCGTTCACCGGAGAAATATCCACCATAGTCGTGAAGAAAAATAGCCGCAAAAATTTGAAATAAACATTCCGCGCTCCATGGATAATCCGAAAAAAATTCCCTTTCTTTAAAAACTATTGGCTAAAGATTGAAATGAGAACACTATTTTTTTATTACCTAAATTTTTGAAAAAAAGACGAAAAAAAGCTTTAAAAAAAGTTGAGGAGAGGCTTTTTGCGCTCCATTGAGAATCAAATCAAATGATTTATTTAAATAACGAGTTTTGGCAACTTTCTTCATATTGAACTTTCAAATTTCACAGCGCGCAGAGGAAAAACAGAAAAATAGCCGTGAAAAATTGGTCTATACAGAAGCAACTGCGCTCTACGGATAATCACTCAAATTTCTATACAGTTAATCATTTTTTTCAATTTTTTTCACTAGTAGTTTTAGTCCTGGAGATTAATAAGTTCACATATATTATAAACTTTGAAATATAAACGAAGAAATTCGAAAAAATACAGCTTCCAGTGTATTTTTAAAATTTCAACTTTTGAATATTTATAAAACGCGTCATAATCCGTGTCACGAAGGTTATTGTTTTGTGTAGAATCTCTACGTCAATAGTGATAAAAAATAACTGATAACGATTGTCGACCGAAAATTGGAAATTTCAACTTGTCAAAAAGTCCACAAGTAGAGTCATTATTGAGCAGAGTACAAAAATGGAAGATGGAACCGGTCTCATAATTTGGGCTATGCAAATAAAGACACAAACAACCTGCGAATTTTCACTAATTCCCAACTAGGAAAAAAGCCGAGAGGAACGAAAAGCCTAGGAGAATTGATCCGTTATAGTGAAACACAAAAATGGGGGAATCGTGGATGGCAATCGGGTTTTTTTTCTTGGCATTCTACGCCGTGTCGTTCCAATCTTCCTGTGTCTCCCGATGATCTCTGTAAGAATTTTGGACATTCATCATGTAAAAAAATTTGAAAAACAGAAATATAAACTGCAAAAAAAGTGAAACGGTCTTTTCAAAATTCTCGCGGGCTTTTTTAAATTAAATATCACAGACCAACTCGAAAAAAATTAGAGTAGAAACCATCTAATTGTAATATGAAGGTATATTTGAATTTCGCGCTCTAAAAACGTTAAACAGACGATAAAAAAATTAAAAAAATGCAGAAATAATTTATAGACAATTAAAAAAATAAATTTTTTTGTTTTTTTAAAAATTTATAAATTTTTTCTACGACGAAAGTACGCAACCACGGTGGCCGCAGAGCTTGACGCGCAAGTTTAATTAAATATTTTTATTTCTAACATCATTTTTTTTGCTATTTTTCTTGTTTATTTCTCGTTTCCAATTTACAAATGTTTAAAAAAATGTGGACTTTATTCGGAAAAAAAGTACCTGTTGTGATTTTAATTTCATGCATATAAAAAGCCTAAAAAAATTTCTTGAGCTTTTTTTCAATTTTTTTCTCATGAGACACGAAACTTCGTAAGTAGTTACGCTTCATGTACTTCAAAAAGACATCAAAAAAATATTTTTTTATCAATTGTTATAATGTCTCAAATAGTTTGTATCGTTATTTCAGGCGAATTTTCAATCTTTTGTTAAAAGTCGTGTTGTTTCAGATCTTGCACGAAATTTCTTTTTTCAAAAATCACAGCTACAATTTTTTATCTCGAAATCCTTTGTCTCGGTTATTTTAATTATTAAACTTAAAAAGTTAAAAAAAATATATATAAGTTGAAGGACAGAGAGGTGAAATAACGAAAAGCTTGGTAAACTATGCGAAAGATGGGGACGGTTTTTATCATATGGCGAACGTTATCAAACTGTTGTTCAATTATGGCAGCTTTTTTCTACTTTTCATCAGTTTTCGGTGTTGAATCATCGATCGTGAAACATTTTTGAAGACAAATAAGTGACGGACTCACGAGGCAATAAATTTTTTTCCATCTGAGTTTTATGTTGTCATGGGAACCTTCTTAGGAATTCCAGAGTGGTCCCTATAAGATTTAGGAGGGAAACAACATCTATAGGGGCCGAAAAATTGGTCCCTATAGGGGTCTTCCAATTTCATTCAAAAAACGCTTATTTATTCAGTTTTTCCCATGGAAATGCTTCTTCGCTTAAGGCTCATAACAATTATCGACTAGTATGTCCCCTTTAGTGACCACTTTTGTAACCTCTAGTTGCCCCTATAGGGGTTGGTAAAGTGGTTCCCAGACGGGACTTTCCAAGGGCCCCTGAGGTTGCCTCTATAGGGATCACTCTGGAGTTCTTAAGCAGTTGGTTTTATTTTTCTATCTTGAGGATTCAAGGGATCACTCAAGCGGTTTCAGAGACTTTTATAGATCCTTTGGAAAAATACTCAGTGATTCGTTCGAAAGCTCGATTTTAAAGCCAAATTTGGATTTAAAAAATTTTTGAACTTCTGTTTTTTTAATGATGATTTAAATGTTCTACAGCTCAGCGAAGACCGATGATTTCCAGAAACTAATGCGAAAATCTTCAAAGATCCATTAAAATTCAATTTTCACGTTTCTAAACCAGTTCCCGTGCTTTTCAGTGCTGCTCAAGGACAAAGTTCATCAGGTTTAATAACGTGTTATCAAACCATATGATATAATGTTTGAGACTTTATTGATACGATATAGTAGTCAGCACGTTTTTTGCACGTGAAGCTACTTCATTTTCCGGTTCACAGGCATTCAAAAAAAAAAAACAAAAAAACCGGGCAAAATTTGATGGGAACGAGATTTTTAAAAATAGAAGTGGTTGAAAAAAAATGGAGAAGACTGAAAAAGTCCGTTGAGTTTTGATGAACTACTCAATTTTTTCAAAGCTACTTCTTCAAAAGCTTCTGGATCTTCCGAGAAAATTTCTAGTAACCTCTAGTAACGTCAAAAAGGACCACTAAAGTGGCCACCAGACAAAAAACAGAAGTAGTCTCTATAGAAGTGGTTTTAGTGGGCACCACAGTGTCTTCTCCAAGTAGTCCTCGAGGTACCTCTTAAGGGGCCACTAAAGTTTTTCCCAGTTCTTTGTGGTCCTACTCAGCTGAAAACTTGCAGTGGCCTCTTTAGGGTTTTGATGTTTTAGTGGGCACTATCGTAGTCAAATTAGTTGACACTCAAGAGGCTAGGGACCTCTTTAGAAGTTCTAGGGGTGCTACTAGATGATAAAAAGGTCATTGAGACCCAAAATAGTGTCCTCGATGAAAGTGGTTTGAGTGGCCACTTTAGTTTTATCCAAGAAGTCCTTAAGGAACCTCTTAAGGGGTCACTACAGTTTTTCCTCAGTAATTCGGAAATTTCATCACACCACTGAACTAAAGATGACAAGGCTCTTCAAATGATTAAAAAGAAATTAATAAATAATTAAGTTTTTTTTGACTCTCAAATTTTTCATAGAGCTTTCTGTAGATAGAGAAACTTGATTTTTTCTTAGACCGCCTTCAAAATTATCATAATCGCCGTCTACTTGGATTTTTTTTGCTTCTTCCAGTTGTTAAACAAATTTCCAAGCTTATTTTCTCCTTGACATGACCTCAACTTTTTTTTCTCCACTTTGAGAGTACTCATGATTGTTTTGGAGTGATTTAACAGTCAAGGTATCCATCGACTGGCGTGAATTGAACCGGTTTCTCTCCGTCTTCCTTATCAGAAGACAACGGTTTTTGGTCTTTTTTCTCAACTCTTCTTCTTTTTTCTCCGCAATAGACAAGGAGACAAGCACACGTCTTCATTACAATTGATCGTTGTTTGGAAAAATGTTTTGTTTGGAAAAAAAAAACATTGGTTTTCGTTTTTCTTTTGTCTGAGGTACGAATCCATGGAGGTTTTGATAAATTGAGGATCTTTGGACTTTTTTTGGAAGGTTACGTCGATTTAAAAAGGGGTCATTGAGACCAAAAAAAACCAAAAAAAAACTCAAAGTGTTTTCGTATTTTCAGTTCCTACGACCTTCTCAAAGAGCAATTAAAGTATGATCCTTGCGAAATAAAAACTATCGATTGGACCGATTGTTTCTGATTGAAAAATATTTTCCCAAGATCACGCCAATCATCAGTTCTTTTCCATTTTGACGAAGTTTCGCACTTTTCTTTGGAGAAACCAACAAGACGAAAAACATGGAATTAAATTTATACACAAAATATTCACAACGAAACCCGTGGATTTGTAGTTGACTAGATTAATTGGGAGATCAACTGCGGTAGTTATTGAATCGGTAATTTCCGAAGAACATGTCGTCCTGGGCGGCGATGTTTTGCAGGTCGTTGGAGTTGAAGTCGTGCGACTCGCCGAGCATCGGGTAGGCCGAGAAGAACTGGCAGCTCGCCAATTGAATGATCAGAACCAGCAGGAGGAGGGCAAGTTTGATGGCGTTCATGGCTGCTGGCCGTTTCAGTGGTGTCAGAAAAGTTGGAGGAGCAGCAGTTTGAAAGAGCTGAAGTGGAAGTGGCCGTTGGCGGGAATGGTGGAAGTGGGAGAACTGTGAGACAAAAGGACTGAGAAATGCGCCCGCGGGGGGATTCTTATATATGAGCGAGAGAAGGCGAAGGAACGCGAAGAGTCACGCGGCCAGAGGAGACGGACCGTCTCTGACGGACAGTGATCGTGGTTTCTGTGACCTTGCGCCCTGGGATGGTCACTTCGTACCTTCGAGGATCTTTGGAAAATCAAAAACTCTTTTTGAGATGGGCTTCTCTTGTATTTACGTTCGAGGATCATCGAAGTATCATTTCAGGAGGTCCTCGGGAATGTTTTTTGAGTTGCTCATTTCGTGTAAGACTGTACACTCGAAGCCCAGCTTTAAAGCAGTTTTGGAGACTCATTGTATTCAATTTTCCCAACTCGAAAGAGAAGGGAGGCGGGACGCGTAGCGTGCGGATCGCGGTCCTTGACTTCTTTCACCTGGAACCCCGTTTTTACTGCCCCTATGCCTTTAACGTCGTTGACCATGATTTCGGCCAGCTCATTCCAGTGAAACTTGTAGGAAGCAGACGAATCGAGAAGGTCCCATAATGTGTCCACAAAGGTACCTCTCAAAATGGATCGTGAAGACCCTATAATGTGTCCGTCGTGAGACCTCCGGAATACCTTTTAGCTATATCTGAACCAGCTCGGAGGTACTTCAGAGTCTCTCTCAAGTCCCTCTCATTTTGCTCAAAATCTTCAGAGGTATCTTTGAGGTACCATCGTGAGACTTCAGAGTCATCTCATAGGGTCTCACGATACTCTTTCTCGATTCGCCTATGTAACCTTTCATCATAGGATAGGTGGAGGAAAGTTGGCAACAGCCCGTGAAGATGAGCGTGAACAGTTGAAGAGGCCCATAACTTCTTGGAAACGATTTCAAAACGACTCTACGAGCGTAATATTTATAGGAGAACGCGGAGACCAACTACGTCGTTGCCCTTGTTGACGCCACAAAAAATGTCCTGACAGAACAACTTCCTTGTGTCAAAATGTTTCCCAGGTCTCATTGAGCTTTTTTGAGCCATTCAAAGCATAAAAGCTCATGTTGTTCTCAAGCTCTTTGCCCAACAAGGAAGGCATTTCAGTTGGAAGTTTGAAGTTTTCTAAAGCCCAGATTAACTCTTGAGGAGTTTCTGGCCATCTGCGCAATTTTCTTTTTTCGAAAGTAGTATCTTCAAAATTCCGCATTTAACACAAAATCAAGCTTTAAGGCAAAGTTTAGTACAGTAACTTGGAAAATTAATAAATTTCAACACATTGACAAAGTCGGAAGTGCGGAAAACGGGTGCATAATGGCCGCTAAAAGGGTTCCGTTTTGCGGCCTTTATTGAGCCTTTCTTTCTTGGTGGGCTAAAAAGAGTCAAAAAAGGGTGAAAAAAGGGTGTTGAAAGACTTGGCCAATAATTATTTCCGATTGTATTACTGTAGCATACTTTGGATCATACACAGTCACTGGTAAAGATTATTCTCACTTTAAAGAATTTTGTTTTTCTCAAAAGGGTGCAAAAAGGGTGGATTAAGGCCGATGAAAGGACGGAGAAAGGCAGTAAAAGGGAACCCGTTTAGGAAAAATTAATGGAAACCTTTTGATTCACAACGAATGCTCCAAGAGCCAGTAAAGGGTTGAAAAGAGCGATTTTTATACTCAAGCCAAGAGGATTGCCAGATTGACCAGTTTGGCGCAGCGCCTGTGCGACTGATTTTCTTTCTAGAGGCCATTGGTTCGGTCCTGACCACGGCATGCTTTTTTTTTTGCCTTTTCTCATAACTTTTTCCTATTTCAAGAATGGTTTTTATTGTCAACTTTCCCATGAATATTTAAAATCTTCTAGCGAATGACATTGATAAAAAAAATAATTGTTCTCAAAAATGTTCTCAAGACAAAGTATCCATTGTTGTGACGGCCTCCGAGAACTTGGCCTTTGACGCGTTCTGGCCAAAAACTTCTGTCCTTTTTCTCGACTCAGTTGTCCCTGAACTAAATGAGAAATCACGATATCGACCAAAATAACAATATCCCTATAAATACGTCGAGTTGGAGCTTTTGAAAGTGATCACTACAGTGATGCGGTCTTGTGTAATTTTATTTTTGGTTTGGACTGTCGTTGGTTTTGTTAACATATCAGGTGAGACTTTCCAGGAGTAGATTCTTGGGATTTCCTACAAACATTTTTTAATCAATGGACGAGCTAATTTGACTGTTTGACAAAGAAAAAAGCTTATTTATGCGCTCTAACGCTAAATTTTAAAGGTTTAGGTCTCTGGGAGCTATTGAAATATCGAAAAATGAAGAGTTGGCACCGAATTTTGGGTTTTTTGGCGGAAAATGAAAAAGTTAGCGGACTCAAAAAAGTGTAAGCTCTTGATTTTTGAAGTTATGAACAGGAAATATCATCGTTTCTACATATTTTAATTGATTAAGATTGCTCCTTTCATCAAAAGGTACTTCAGGAACTTCGCTCGGCGAGCTCTTCTCAAAACTCGCCGAAAAGCGAAGAACTTCCGATTTGAAGTCGCTGACCGATGCTCAGTTGGTGAACAACCCGGCAAAGCTGACCACGGCTGTGGACACCTTCGGCGAAGCTTACAAGTCGGACAACTCGAGCACGTTGTTCACCGACGGGAATGGCAAGCTCATCTACCGACAGCTTCGGCGGCTCAAATTGAACATCCTCGACAGAATCATGCATCCGGGAGGTTTCTCTAGTTATCAATGATGTTGAATTTTTCCTTTCGTAACTTTTATCTTATCAAAGAGTTTTAGATGATTATTAGCGTTTTTTTTTTTTTTTGAGTATGGTCCTGCAACGATTTTCTAGTTTTTTTTTAGGATAATGTATCAAATGTTTCAAATGTATGTGCCTTTCCAAGTTTTTTTTAAATTCCTTTTTTAAAATTTTCTTTCCTTGGTGAAATTCTTTTTTCAGATTTTTTTCCTGTCGTTCGTTTTTTTATCTTTCAACCTTTTTATTGATCTTTTAAAAAAGATAATTTTGTGGGGAACCTCTAGGGACCACTTCAACTTGGTCATCACCTCAAAATTGATTTCCCTTTCAAACAAATCGGCTAAATGGAATTTTTGAGTTTTCGTTTGTTCGAAACTCTTTTTTTAAATAAAAAGAGGCTTGTTTAATTAAAACTAGAAAAAAAAAGCTTAATTACTCATACCTTGGTAACGCGAACGGAACGCGAATCGGACATGTCGGGGCATTTCTAGCGACCACTTTAGTAGCCTCAGAACTCCTAAGGGATCCCTAGAATCGCCCAGAAACGTCCGGAGCATGTTCGTTTTGTCCGAGTAATGATAAACACTCAATTTCCCTTTTTGCGCGTCAATTCTCATGCACTGTGTGCATTGCGTACAAAACATTTTACTTCCCGCAGTGAATTGATGTTGCCGTGTTATACAGTTTATCCTGCTTTTCTCAATCCTTTTTGACATCAAAACCATGTGGCGGATTGATGGAACCTTGAAGTACACAAATTTGTTGCCTTCTCATTGATCATTCTTGTTCAAAAAACACATATTTTGTAATAAAGGATTTTTCGATAGTTTTGTAGATGAATCTCTGAAATCGGCCACATTTCTCGTATTTTTACTTTATATTTGCGTGAAACAAGACATGTGATCAATAATGAATTTATTTTCACAAAAAATCGTTTCTAAAGCGGTCTGGTCGAACCCGTAGTTTACTAGTAGGTCATCGAAGAAGATTATCATTGATGGTAGTTGTTGAAGCGATAAACTTCGAAGAACATGTCGTCGTTGGCCAGAATCCGATTCAAGTCGTTGGAATCGAAGGGATGCGAGTCGCTGAACATCGGGTAGGCCCAGTAAAGCTGACAAGAAACCGAGGCGAACAGAAGAAAGAGAAGAACCGACTGTAGGAAGTTCATGTTTCAGAAGAGGCTCAAGGAGATCGTTGGTTAGGAAGAAGCTCAGAAGGGTGGGGAAACTGTCGCCTTGGCATTCCTTTTATAGGAGGGGGGGAGAAAAGAGAGAAGAATGACCAACTACGTCGTCGGTTCACGTCACAAGGAAAACTATTTCTGCTTTTTGGTGCAGAATCTTGTCGGAAAAAAAATTTCTTTGAAACGCGTTTCTTTAGGGCTCCTAGCCAAAATTATTCAATTGAAATATCTATTTTGAATAAATTTGCAAGTTTCGTTGATTGTTTTTTGCTGCCTCCACGCCCCGCTATGGCAAAGTTTTTGGCGTCATTGTGGAACGGTTCCTTTTCTGATCTTGACGTCACAGCCGCCCGGTCTCCTGAGCTTTTCTTGGTCATCCAGAGAATCATCTCAAATAATTTCCAAACTGATCCGATCAAAAAACTGTTTTGAATTGAACTTGAATAAGTTTCTTTTCTTTTCCCAATGCTTATTGCAATCTAGCACATCGATTTATTTTCAAAATTTCATTGCAAGAAAAAAAACAACAATTTACATGTAATTTTCTGAAAAACCGCAGTGTTTCACCCGTTTTTTTCAGATAACAAAGCTCAGGGGAGATCAGAAATACCGGAAATCAAGGTTGAATTTGACCTCCGCCGAGTCGGTGTAGAGAATTATCGGCATCGGATTCACCGTCGTGTTGACTGAGATCGGCTTCAGAAGACAGCAGTCTCTGGAAAAATCCTATGAAGTATTTTCCTACTTGTATGTAGTTGTACTAGGATAGGCATAATTTTGGCGAAAAATCAAAAAGATTTCTTTTTATGGGCCATATTAGAATATTTTTCGAAAGTTATTCTGCCGGCACGACTCGAAGATCTCTGGTCGCATCTGGAATAGCTCGACGCGTAAGCCGTTTGAAGTCGGGGGCACTTTGCTTTTAAGGTTGAGCCACTCCCCGTGCGACCATTCCTTTTTAAGTCGGAAGAAAATAAAAAGTAATTTTTTTTTACTGCAGCTTTTCTTGTGGAAAGTTAGAAATTTGTTTCTAGCTAGGAAATTTTACACTTCTTCTTGTTCTATCAACATGAAATGCTTGATGGGTTACTGTAGCCCTAATCGTTATGAGATCCTCAAAGTAACGGTGAATGAACTATACTCAATGAATGGTGATTTTCCCGTTTATTGTACTACAAACCTCTCATTCGTGATCCTAGGATCGTCCAGATGTTTGACTTCGATTCCACCATCAGGACACCCAAAACCGCAGATCTTCCGTGGCTGTCTACTGTCCGCCGTTTCATAAGAAACCGCGATTCGTGAGCCTCTGGGGGCCTAGAATGACCATTTTCAATGATAGTCCATTCACGGACATTTGAGAGGAATGCTTCTTCTGTTCTCTCTTCTTTCTCAGCTAGGGAAAAGAGAGCGCAGAGAGGTCTGACAGTTTCAAGTCGTGGTGAATGGAGTGTGAGTCCATTCAAAGCGGCTTGAAAAGAATCTAGCTTTATGGACTCTCTTGTTCTCTCTGAGCAAAGACATTGTTCAGTGGAGTATAGTCGAGTCCCCATAAATTGAAACCTTCTAGCTGTCTGCGCTCTCTTTATCTCTTGCTTTATCTCTGCTATAGTCCGTCTGCCTCGACAGTTTTCGAGTGTCTGCGTCTCTCTGTTCCCTCACCGGCGAGATCAGAGAAACATGGAAATAGCACGTAAGCGGGAGAGAGACGTCGAGAGATAAGGAGGGCGCAGAGAAGTCCCGCCCTTTCAAGTCGCAAAAAACGGACTAAGATATAGGTTTTTTAAATTCTGAAGAGCGCTCTTTTTTTTTCAAAGAGCTTCTCTGAAACAGAGATACAGTGTATTTCCTCAAATCTTACCATAATCCAATAATTGCAAAAAGAGACGAATTGATCGTCTCGAGACCTGTCGTATTTCACCGACAAGACTTGTCTCTGCCACTGAGGCGAGGCAACGAAAGTGGCCCCACATCCGCTTGGCTTGAAAAATTCAAAGGTTCATTTTTCTTCGAAATATCTTCTATACCCTCTGATCACAGTAATCGCCACCGTAACCCATAGGACAGTTGCAGATCTTGCAATTATTTGGGTTTGGAACGCCGCCGTTGGCGCAGTTTGTCATCGAGCCGATGCAGTTGTCTGAAAAATGACAATCTCTCTGACCTGTCTGCGCTCTCTATTCCCTCGCCGATGAAAAATTAATAAATTACCATGACAGTGATAGTAGATATTGATGTTCTCGTAGTCGTAGAAATTCGGAATTTCACTGCCCATCGTCTCGATAAAGTCCTTGTCTCGCGGCAAAATCGTTTCCTGGTCATCTTGCTTGGAGAATCTGAATTTAAAATAGAACTTCAAAAATAAACAAAAGAGGTTCACGAGTTGGCTGTGTAGTGCATGACGCTGCCATAGTCATAAGGAACTAAGTTCATCCATTGGCTCGCTGGGAGAAGCTCAAAGTTCGGCAGGTCGTCCGGCTAAAAACTAGGAAATATTAAAATTTCAATGAAAAAAACGAACGTCAATGTTTTGAGTTTGAATGCGGAGGTAATTGTCGCGGTCGCTTCTCGACTGGGTATGTTCGATTCCAATTGCGTGCATGAGTTCATGTTGAGCTGTACCGACCTCAAAAAATAAAAATATATTTCTCAAAAGGGCATGAAATTCATGGAACGAGGAAAGAACAAAGAAGTTCGCAAAAACCATTTCAAGTACACCTAGTGGTAATTTTATAAAAAGTTTATCATTGATAAAATCTTCCCAAAAAACTCGAATTTTATACCTTACGGTGTTCTCTGTTTACGTGCTCAAGCAGCAGGGAGTTGCACGAAAAACATTTTAGTTGACGCCAATCACTATCAGTGGATTTTTTTATTACAATTTTTCGTTTGCTTTTTTTTATTATTTTTGATTCCAGTTCAAATTATCTTCCCAAAAGAATCATTGTCTGTGAAATTTCGGGTCGAGCAAGAATTTTGCGCCTTTCAACAACTTAGCAGCTTTTTGAACATGGTACTATTTTCTGGACGAGTTTAAAAGGTTTATGTCTTTCTTGCAATGAAAAGTTGACGCTTGATATTAAAAATATCCACGATTTTCTATTTTTAACTGCTTCAAATTTCCAAGCTGTTAATTATATTCAAACATTTTTTTGTATAAACAAGTGAATATACAAGTGATAGAAACCACGTTCAAGGATGAATCGGGGTTATATCACGAGGGTATATTTGATTTTAACGACTGTCAAATTCATTTGTTTAATTTTTGATTTGAAGCTTATCATTTAAATGAAAAATTTTTTACTTTTTTTTTTATTTTTCCGAATTAGAGAAGTTCCAAGGATTGCACTTTAGACCATTTTTAACCCGTTTACCGTTAGCTAACCAGTGGTGCTTCGAAAACCAACCCCATAACAGTCTTTCGATAAGGATACATCCTGTTGTCCTCCGATCCTTCCGACGGGACTCGCGCAGGCGTCGTTGTCGGTGATTCTGACGACGTCACCTTCGTAAGTCTTCGGCACTTGTCGGAATCGGACGCACGTCATTTTTTCAATGTTGGCGATCGCTTTTGTGACTGATGTTATCACGGCTTCTGAGATTTTCGAAAATTTTTATTTTCTGGACAAAAATTGAAGCTTTTTCCAATAGGACGGCTTAGAATTGATCTATTTACGTCATTTTTACTTTAAACTTTTTAATTTCCTTACTTTTTAGAATGAGTTCTTGTGACTTGAAAACACTTGGTAGTTCAAGTTTCTTGGAAACATTGTAAAGAAAAAAGACTAACTTGACAAATTATCATTGAGAAAGTAAGGAATCGTCGCTTTTGGCCATTTATATGAAGGGTCTCGATTCACTTGTCGTTCGTCTCTCTGTAAATTTATTTTGAATATCTTTTCCTTTTTTAAGAGTGCACTTTTTACAGAAAAAAAAAGTCGAAAAATCACGTTTCAGAAGGTCCTTCTCGACAAATAATACAGTTATGCAATTTTTCAGGATCATCAAATATCACATTTCACAGCCTTTTCAGAAATTTTTGTAGTTACTAGTGAAATTATCTTTGAAACAGTAGCTTTCCTTGCATCTTTTATACTAGATTTCATTCATAAAACTTTGAAAAAACCAACTTGAACGGGTCGATTCGGCGTTAACAAGGCGGCAAGTTCCCTCGGATCAGTGATACCAAAAGAATTAACAAGGAAAATAAAAGTGGCAAGAACTGGAAGATATCGAGCCAACATACAAAAGAAGTGTGTGGCAAGAAATAACGGGGGCTTGCCGTCTTTGAGCCGCCTTTATACCTCGACTCTTTGCCAAGCAGTTCAAAGGTAAACATTTACCTGTCCAAGTGATGATAGTAAACTTTGGTGTTGAGTCATGGCCTTATTTTCCGAAAAATAAAGCTTTATTTAGTTTTTCTGAGCCTTTTCGAAACTATGAAGCTCCTAGAACTTTCGAGAGTTTACTTCAGTTTTAGATGAGGCGCTAGAAATTCAAAATGGGGTGACTGGTCCAAGTAAGCCCTAAAGCAAACACTTTGGTTTGTTGGGTTAACTTTACGGGTTTTTCGTCACTTTTTGAAACCCGGGTCAAAATTGTTGGGAAATCAAATTGTTTTAGGAAGTTTTTGGCTATAAAAACCTTTTAGAAGAGAGAAAATCTTTCCCCAAGAAAAAGCTTGAAGTTCAAAACTTCTACTCGAATTTTCAGGGTTTATTTACTCATTTTAAAGCCTTTCACATTTATTTTAAGCGTTTGAAACATGGTAAGTTCTTCAAAAAAATGATTTAAATGAATTTTTTTGAAAGCTCCTATGTAGGAATCTGTACAGAAAACCGACTTTTCTTCTTCAATTTTAATAAATTTTCCGCTCGTATAAGCTTTTTTAGCGTTCTAAACTAACCTAATTTCCAAAAATTCAAGAAGAAAGTACCAACTTCACCCTGATCTTTGTAGTTGAACAAAAAACATTTGTTTGCTCGAAAATTCTCAAAAAAATCGCGTGTTTGCTTGTCAAACTCTCAACTAGTTTCATAAAGCTCATTTCTAAATATAGGTCCGCAAAGATAAAAACTAGAAAAAAACCTATATTTTTCTTGAAAAGCGGTATTCCACTATGTATTCTCACTTCTGAAAGATTTGAAAAAAATGAAATTTTTCAAGAGTTTCGAAGAAATAATAAGAAAAATCGGAACTGAATACATTTTCTATATTTAAAAAAATTCATTTTTTTCAATACTAACTTTTTGCTATGCTCCTTTAAAGGCACAGGGACAACATATTTAAAAAAATATGTCACTTTGTAGAGATTACAAAAAGGGCGTTTTGCAGTAAAGTTGCTCTATGGACAACACGCTGCGCCATTTTTTTCGGATTTTTCCTTTTTTTTCGTTTCTTTCAAATTTTAATTTTTCTGTTCTAACCAAAGTTTTTTGTCATGTAAATCCTCCGGCGGGAATTTCAAAAAAAAAATTCATAAAATTCGAAAAAACACGCTTATGAAACTAAAAACCACTGTGTGAAGCTTTTTTTTAAAGGTAGTTTCATTTGAAGTTTAGCGGCTAAAAACGAGGAATGAGAAAGAGAAAAAAATAATATTCTTGGGTGAAAGAATGAACTAAGATGAATGATTTAGCCTAGTCTCTACTTCAATCCCCACCAAAACACAATGTTTTTCATGTCTTCTACAGTTTCTAATTCCGTCTTCTCTTTGATCGTCCAACTGATCTATTTTTGGAGTTTTTCTTCTCATCTCTCTTCCGGCCAAGAATGTCGATGGTCTTTGACACAAAAACATGGCCAAAAGATGGATTTTTGGGTTCTGTTCCTTAATTTAGAACTTGATTTGGGTCTTAAAATAGACAAGAAAAGTTTGAAGATGGGAAAAATGAGATCAGTGGTTTTTGGTGTTCTTTTGATCTTATAAGAAATATAGCCTTTTTTAAGATTTTTTGTGCAAATTTTTGGCATCATAGTTTCCGTTTCTAGTGATGAAATTCACAAGATTCAAAGTATAGACTTTTTTTCCAAAATCAACTTTTTTTGGAGACTAAACTTTTTCATTTTTACATAGTTTCAATATAGAAAAAAATTATTTTTGAAAAAAATTTCTGAATTCTTTCTTTCTGCATATTTCTCCTGTACACACATCAATATAAATTAAAAATATTTTTATTAATTTTTTTAATATACACGTATTTTTTTATCATCACAAATAAAAAAAGATGAAGCCACGTATTGATGGAAATTGAGTATCGTCGATGCCTTCCTATTGAAAAAAAGTTGATCAGATGCCTCCGCGAAGTCTTTTTCCGAGAATCTGTAAAGGAGAGTTATAGAAAAATGTAATAATTATTTTTGAACTTACATCAGAAAGTCGAAGGCGTCGGAACTGCCGGAAAACGATGTGGCCTTGGCCGTCCTTGACAAAGTTTGACGATTTGTCCGATTTAAACGTTTCATATCTTTAAATAAATGATTATATATATATTTTTTAAACCCAAAAACTCACTCGGCGATTTTTTTGGGTTAGGCGCCTCGATGCCTTGGGGAACTGCGCGGGAGATAAAGTCGATGATTTGCTTATTTTTCACCAATTCTTGCTTTTTGATCAGGTTTTTGTAAAGGTCGTCGAGGCCGCTGGCGTTGCTGGGGACAACTGAAACTTTGGAAACTTAGTTGAGAAAAAAATTCAGCTCAAAAAAATTCAAGATTTGAAGCGATTTGAGCATTTTTTTTTTCAAAAACACTGCCAAAGTCAGAGTGACTGCAAAATGATCACTAAAAGGGTTCCGTTTTGCGGTCTTTTTTGAGCCTTCTTTTTCTAGCTGGCCTCGAAACAGGGTGAAGAAAGAGTGAGGGTGCAAAAAGGGTGGATAAAGGCCGATGAAAGGACGGAAAAGGCAGTGAAAAGGAAACCGTTGCCACCTGTTTAGGAACCATTAATGGAAGCCATTTGATCTATAAAAAACTCTCAAACGGTTTTTCCGACTTTGCCTATGAAGGAAAACTCCAAACACTTACCCAGAGCGATAGCGAAAAAGACCAAGACGTAGAAAATTCCAAAATAGTTCATTTTTGCTAGAATCTGATTAGGTATAGATGAGAAGGTTCGTTTCCTTTTTATATCAGAAGGCGAAAAAAAGAGTATGCCAACCGCCCCCATCGATCAATTTGACCACGTTCTTTCGGGTGGGCCGACCGACAAAAAAACTGTCCCATCTTGGTCTAGTGACGTCGTCAGTCATTCCCAGAAGGAACAATAATTCACTGTCCACACATGTTTCACATCCCTTTGTTTTGTTTTGTTTTGTCTCCCTTTGACGTACCTGTTCGTTTTTTTAGAAGTTTAATTTCTTTCATAACACCTTGTGAAGTGTCACAAGCTTTTGATCAGCTGAGAAATGAGTTTGGATCGGATTATCACCAGATTTCATCGAAAAATCGAGAATGATCATCAATATAGCTCATTAAGGATCACCTTAGGATCTCCAGAGTGGTCCCTATAGGGGCAACCTTAGGGGCCCTCGGAGGGTCCACTTCACCAACCGCTATAGGGGCCAGTAAAGCTTGCAAACGTGGTCCCTATAGGGGAACTTTCTAGTCGATTATTGTTAAAAACTTTAGAAGCATTTCCATGGGAAAAACTCAATAAATAAGCGTTTTTGAATGAAATGACCCATCCCTAGAGGGCTCACTTGAGTTTTAGACACTAAGGATTCAGACTTTAAACCCCTATAGGGACCACTTTTTCGGCCCCTGGAGGGGTTGTTTTCCCCTCTAACCCCCATAGGGACCACTCTGGGACTGCAATTAGGGCTGGTTATCTTTCGTGAATTCAAGGATACCTAAAAGCATTCAGAAACTTGATATGAAGAGAAGCTTTTTTAGAACTAAAAATAAAAAAATGACTTTCTGTTGAACTCTTTTGATAAGCTTCAAATGACAAGATGTAGAAGATTTAAAAAAAAATCGAAGTTTAGTGGATTTTGGCATATATTCCCTCAAGAGTATTTCGCTTTGATAACTTTGAAAACAAGAGATTTCGACTTATTTTAAACTTCAAGCTTCTTTTGCAAGCTTCACACGCCTTATTTGAGTTTCATTCTTTAAAAAAAGCAAAAAAACGTCATTTTTTTCACGCTCCTGTTCACGTTGTTTTTATTATTATTTATTGTTGTGATTTTTTTTTGCTGAACATTTTGGAACGAAAAACACCGCGTTGCACCCGGTACAACATTCACAGGAAGTGAAACAAAACGGAGAAAGAGAAACTTTTGTGGTACACGGGTGAACTTGTGACGACACATGGTAGAATTTTGTTCCAAAAGAATGTTGGAGATAAGAAAACGAAGAATCAATTTGGAACGAGTTGGTCTTACTACCATCAATCAACGACAACTGTTTGATTTCAAATCTTTTCTGTACCTTTTTTCAGTATAAAAATGCAGGCTGAACTTAAAAGAAGAGGTCAGGTCCTTTGAACTATGAATATTCCTTAGTGAGCTTCAAATAAGCCAGAGGGTTTGAATTGAATCTTCGATTTCTTCGCATTTTTTTTCAATTCCTATTTTCCGATTTTAGGGTCTTATTTCTGTCCAAAGTTTATCTATGAATTTTTATGGTATGAATTATGGGGAGGAAAATATTCAAAAACCGAGAAAAATCCATCAGAAACTAGAGGTCGCACTGGTTTGAAGAGACGCCAGAGAAGTGGGAGCAATGACATTGTCTGGGGTCTCTTCGGTACACTGATGTCTCTCATTTTCCTTATTTTTAAAGATCAAGGAGACGTTAAACAGAGCGAAAAACGAAAGATCAACTAGGTCTGAAGAGACGCCAGACAACGAGCGTGTCTCTGCTTCTCTGGCGTCTCTTCGAATCGCCACTGTCTCTCACTTTCGATTATCCCCTCTTCTAAACGCGAAAAAAACGGTAGTTCGCCTTATGAAAAATTCAAGAAATAATAAAAAAATTTATAACGAAAAAGAATAAATATGTGAATTTAATACATCTGCTGATATCTTCGAAAGACTGTGGTTCAATAAATACGAATACTATGAGGAATGTGAAGTTATTTTCGGAAAATTGACATTTGATCATGAAGGACAGATATTCTGATGGCACTGATCGTTGCAAGACGGCCGGCAGGTGGGGTTCTGTACCTGGGAGCATTGGCCTTCGCAAGATTGCTGGCAGTAGGTGTCGCACTCGTCTCGGCTCATTCTGGAATTCATCATAAATGACAAAAATTTAAAAAAAGCATAACTCATTCACCCCCAGCTGCACATGGGTCTCGAGACGATTAGGAAAATAGTGAGCAAAAAGAAGAGATTTAGACGTGTCTGTATTTTTTATAGTATGACCCTAACAAGTTCAAAAAGTCCATTCACTTAGTTCCTTCCCAATATCGAAAGTCTTAGGAATTTTTGAGGGGTCCCTATAATGTTAGGGGAAAAATAGTCCCATATAGGAACCGAAAAATGGTCCCTAACGGGGTAAAATCAAGGTGGCCCCCTTCAAGCTCAAGTGGTCCCTATAGGGGTCGTCCAATTTTATTCAAAAAAGGTTTTTCTCAGTTTTTCGCATGGAAATGCTTCTTCGCATAGAGTTCATTAAAATTATCATCTAACATTTCCCTAATATCCCTATGGGGACCCCTTTTGCAAGATTTAGTGGACCCTATAGGGGTTCGTAAAGTGGTCGTCAGAAGTGACCCTTCAAAGGCTTCTAAGGTTGCCCCTATAGGGACTACTCTGAGTCATGCCTAGAAAAAAAAATCAACTTGTTCTAGTTTCTTCTCGCATTAAAGCTCCTTTCAACGCCCCCCTCCCCAAATGTTTTGAATGAAATAGAGACAAGAATCTTCACTTTCTGGCGCTCGCCGGTGTCGCCAACTGAATATTGATCCGAATCGGGGAAGCCGTCGAGTCTGCAGCCGCGGAAGTCGCCGGCGAGTTCTGCGGCGTCGTGAAGAGGATCGCCGAGTTGCGTTGTACCTGAAATCTTGCTTTTTTCTAGAAGGACACCTCGAAACTTCTCGGAAATAATGGCAAAAAATGGAATGTTCCTGTGCATATCCGAACTTGGATCTCATGTCAGTGCACTATTCACTATTACTCAACTTGGAAGAAGTGTGAAATCGACCATAAGAAAAAAAAGATCTATATAAACTGATCCGGCAGAAAGCACAGCTACTGAAGTGCACTTTCAAGGATTCTTCAAGTAGTCCCTTAAGAAGCGGATTGAACAAGCATTTGGCTACTTGATATATCCGAGTGGTCCCTCAAGGTATTTAATTTGACAGAGCCATGTTTCAGTCACGATACGCTTGCAAAACTATAAAAAACCGCACAAGCTGGATTTGAGGGTCCACTTCAGTGGATTTTGACCAAAAAGTTTATTAGATTTTGCGAATTAACGAAACTCTTCTACGTCAGCAAATATTCACTCAGGTATAGTCTGTTCAGATTTTGAATGTCAAGTCGTCACTCAAGCTCCGCCCCTAATCGCGCGATAAACCAATCAGAGAGCGAGCCATCTACAGAGTGTTTTTGAATGACGTCATTGCACTTGACATTAAAAATCTGAACAGACTATATTTTTCCGGATTACGGTACCTCAGGACTTGTGCAGGCACTCTCACATTGAGGCGCACACGTGTCGATGCAAAACGCCGACGGCGTCGTTTTCTGCGATACGCAAGCCAGTTGACACACGGATTGACACTCGGAGGAGCATCTGGATTTCAAAAAATCTTCTTCAAAAGACCCCCATTCTCCTTGAAAGGGATCTTCCAAATGTATACCTTTGTTTGGGGTCCAGCATGACGGGGAATGACGCGATTTCCGTTACGGCGTTTGAGGTCGGTGAGCAAACCTTCAAGGATTTTGAGCGTCATCTTATTTTTGCTCACTTTCTTCAAACCTCAGTACAAGTATTGGAGCAGCTGGTGTCGCAACCTTCCGTCGGCAAGGGATTCCGTTTTGGACACGAATCCCGACATCCAGTATTACATTGCGTGTAGCACGGAGAATCTTTCTGGAAGCGAAAAAACTGAGGAACGCCAGAGTGGTCACTCTAGGGGTTGAGGAAAAAACCCCTATAGTGGACAAAGTGATGATTTTTATAGGGTAATACTTAGGTGATCCATGAAGGAGTTCACAGTCTGATAGTTTGCTGAAGTGATCCCTATAGGGGTCTTTCAACTTTTTGTTACTCTTTGAAAGGTAAAAAGGCAGATAGGGACCACTGGCATACTTCCCTAGAGTGGCCTCTTTTGCAAGCTTCGGTGTCCACTAGAGTAACCACTTTTGCAAGCGTCAGTGTCCACTAGAGTGACCACTTTTGCAAGCTTCGGTGTCCCCTAGAGTGAACACTTTTGCAAGCTTCAGTGTCCCCTAAAGTGGCCACTTTTGCAAGCTTCAGTGTCCCCTACAGTGGCCACTTTTGCAAGTTTCAGTGACCCCTAGAGTGGCCGCTTTTAAAAAGCTTTGGTGTCTTCTATAGGGGAGTCGAGGTAGTTTTTTTATCTACAAAAATATTTTCAAATTGGCGCCAAAAAAATATACGCAACCGCTAAATGTTGTTTTTCCGAGCTGTTTTCAATGCGAGATAAATGATATATACCATTGTATTTTGAGCTGGAGGAGCTGAAGCTGGAGGGGCAGCTTGAGGTGCGGCTTGCGCCGGGACAGGGTTTTGGACCTGGAAGCTTTAATAAATTCATTTACAAGGGAAAAACTGTCATTCGACAAGTCAAATGATAAGAGAGAACTATTTGGAAATACAAAACCCAATTCTTCAGCCGCGGTAATGATTAGATCTGATTGTTGAGCTTCAGAAGGCCAAAGAAAAGCAACCTTGATATTGATTTTGATGGGAGATTGGGTAGGCTGGGTGGTCGAAGCAGCCGTTGTGAAGGTGAACGGAATCAGTGTTGGTGGTGGTGTGTTCTGAAATACCATATTTTCAAATCGTGTCAGGACTTTTTTCCGATGGCTCAAGACGGTCGTGAATTGGTTATGTGCCCATATTCTTCACAAAAAACGATGGTGTGTGTATTTCGAAGTATAGACCAGAGTTTCATGATTTTTTTTCAGAGCCACATTATCACTCTCTTGTCCCTGTGCATGCGCCTTTAATGCCACGGCGTTTTTCGACGATGCTCCGCTCTTTTCCGTAGAGTGTGGTGTGTCGGTGTGCATGCACTGCGGCGCTCTCGCACATGCCGCGAAATTCAAAATTCTTTCTGGATTTTCAAAGTTAAGTTATATTTTTTATTCTCTAGCTGATTCGCGAATCTATTCTGAACATGGCAACAGAAAAAATAAATTTTTTACATGAGAAATCGATTCGCCTCATGACCCATTGAACATGCGCCTTTAATATTCCCTGTTGTTTACTCTTGTTTCCCATGACGTCACGTGGGAACGGCGGAGGTTTTGACTCCACCCAGTTCATTTTAGTCTCTTCCACTAACAAAAACGCCATGATGTGGCCAAAGATTGTGTAATTTTAAAGGCGCATGGTAAGAGACGAGCCGCGCGCATTGAAAAAGGGGTTCTGTAGCTCGAGGGGCCGACAATCCACGCGAAATACGCTATGTAGTCTGTGTGCCACGACTTGAAGTCTCACCGAACGACATTCCGCTGTTCCGCTGCGTGCGTTCGCGAAGCGTCTTTCGAATCTAGGTCACGCTTTCAATTGATTGGTATTGCTGTGGGAGCACATGAAAGTAGAGTACCATAATAAAATAAATGAAAGTCAAAAGCGCAACCAAGGTTCGCAAAGGCGCACAGCGGCACAGCGGAATGTCGTTCGGTGAAATTCCGAGTCGTGGTACACAGGCTATATCTTACCTGAGAATACGGCTGGAAGCTGAACTGCTGGGGCTGCTGCTGGGGCTGTTGCTGGGGCTGCGGAGGCGGACACATAGATGCACAGGTCGACTGACAGGAAGAGTCACAGGTCTGCTGAGAGATCGTCGGAGTGCACGAGGATTTGCAGGACGATGTGCAGGTCGGCATGCAGGACTGGTCGTTGGACACCAAGCTGATTTGGAGCTGAACTTTTTAAAATTCTTCATGGTTCACTCCAGGGTCTCAGGTCGCACTAGGAGTTCCAGAGAAGCTTTCACTAGACGCAGTTTTTCACGCTGATTCCAAATCTGTGCTTGAGAGATTCACAAAAGGCTTGGGAAAAAAGTTATGGGCGCTAGAAGTTGAAAAAAACAGTTTTTGAAAACTTGAAAACTCTTAAAAGAGATACGCTGGCTTCAAAAACGACTTTTCTCGAAAAATTTCTTTTATTATCAATTTGGAGAAACTTGAGCAGAAGTGCGGTCATGTAGCGGTTTCATGGGCTATTTAGGTAGACCAATAAAATTTCGATTAAAATAGTCAAATCAAGAAAACCTCAATTAAAGACATTGAAACTTTCGCCTTTTGAGAGGTGCTAACTTTTCTCACAGGCCTATGTGGCAGTATCCAAGACCAAATTTGGAATCAGCATAAAAAGTTACATCTAGTAAACTTGGTCTTATTCAGAAGTCCTGCTGCGACCGGAGACTATTCCCTTTTAAAATCAAACGATAATTTTTGAAAAATTATCCATTTTTTCCTTTTACACTAGAGTTCAATTGAAGCTTGTTTCAAGATCCTAACTTCAAAATCTCAAAACCACAAACCTGCAGTGGCAAAACGGTCGGCGCGGCGGTCGTCGTCGTGGTTGTGGGCGCCGCCGCGGGCTTACAGACCCTCGAGCAGGAATTTCCGCAGGACGTGGCACATTGGCTGCTCGAGTACTGCTGTTGCTGACAAACAGAGGTGCACTGAAATCGATTTTTCAAATTTCTTTAAAAATAATAGTGTGTTGACAGATCAATGTGGACCCTAAAGAGATCACTTGGGTCTAAAATCCAAGAGAAAACAGTTTACAACTTTGAGGATCTTCAGGAAGCGTGTGTGTGAAAAAGTGTGCCTACACTACTGAGGAACGCCAGAGTGGTCACTAGAGGGGCGACTTTAGAGCTTCTTGCAGGTTCCCCTCAAGGGGCCACTTTACCTACCCCTGTAGGGCTTTCAAAAGAGCAAACATGTCAAATCAGAACAAAGTTAAAAGACCCCTATTTAACGGAACAGGGGTCAGACCCCCTACATTTGAGCCCTCTAGGGAGCACTGAGGGATTTATTCTTTAGCCCCTCTAGTGATCACTCTAGCGTTTCCTTTCAAACCAAAAAAATTTCCTCAAAATCGAAAAAAGGGAACCTTGGAATTGCAGTCCGAGTTGCAAGTGCTACCGAAGACTGGTCGGATCACGACGGAAGCTTTTGGCGGGGTTTGTTGAGGGACCACTATCGGGTTGAATGTTCTGAAATTACCATCCATGAACAATCGTGGGTTAGATTGTACCTTTTTGGTGCACAGGCGCAGATTTGGGTCGTGCACTTGCAAGCCATATTGGAGAGTCCAGCACATGGACATTGCCGTTTCACTCTTCGGCTTCTCTGGAATCATACAGGTGTTTCTAAGCCATTGAATACTACTGTAGTGGCCACTAAGAGACAAGATAGTGGCTTTAGTGACCACTTTAGGGTTTTTCCCCTTTAGTGGCCCTTATCGTAAACGAATTAGTGGCGACTTAAGTGACTAAAATGTAGCAGCCTCTTTAGATAAGTAATTGGTGTTTTATAGACTACTACAGTGGCCGCTAAGACGCAAGATAGTGGCTTTAGTGGCCTCTTTAGGGTTTTGAAGCATCAGTGGACCCCAGAGTAGTCGATTTAGTAGCAGTTTAAAAGACTAAAGCAGCCTCTTTAGGTATATAACTGGTGTTTTATAGGCTACTATAGCGGCCACTAAGAGGCAAGATAGTGGCTTTAGTGGCCACTTAAGAGTTTTGACGCGTCAGTGCCCCCTACAGTAGTCGATTTAGTGGCAACTTAAGAGACCAAAATCTTGCAGCCTCTTCAGAAATGTGAGTGATGTTACTAGACCACTAAAAACTACTATAGTGGCCACTAAGACGCAAGATAGTGGCTTTAGTGGCCACTTCAGTGTCCTCTCCAAGTAGTCATCGAAAAACCTCTTAAGGGGTCACTAGAGCTTTTCCCAGGAACACAATGCCGTGCTCAAAAAGAGCGAAAACGGTGTACACAAAGTTGCTTACCGTAACCCTTTTCAACAGTTTTGGGGATACTTCACAGTCTTATCATGAGTGAAAGAACACATGACGAAAAAGTTTTTTTCACTTTTAACTTCCCAGAAAATCAAGTAATCATCCTATCGAGTTAAGAAAGAACCGAATATATTAAAAATCTATTTTCCGTGAACAATACTATTTATTTTCAGTGACTGAGTCACTGATCTTCTCAATAGCCTCTCGAGAGGACAAGAAAGAGCTACCTCTGAAGTGGGCACTTGAGACTTTCTCAGTGAGCAATTTTCAGAAAGTGAGTAATTTTCAATACCTTCCCAAGAGAGAAGATTTTTTTCAAATTATTTTGAAATTCTTTTTTAGCGAATTATTTTGGACCAGAGGTGTTAAAAAAACTTCAAATTCACTAGAAAATAAAGGGAGGATGAAAAAGACTTTTTTTGGGGTTTTTTTCAATTCCTAATTTATGAACTTTTTGCAAAATTTTGAAAAATGGCTGATCTTTGGACTCCTGCAAGCTAAGGCAAGTAAAAAGGTTGATGAAAAAAAAGGCGTAAAATAATTCCTTAGGAAGCCTTTGGGAGCCTTTTTAGGTCCTTTTCGTATGTCCGAAAAAAATTGCTGGCACTTCTGGACACTAAAGCTACAAAAATAACTTGAAAGAAAAAAAAAAAGAGGCAAATTAGCTGGTAAAAATGAAGCACCTTTTTTAGGTCCTTTTCTTAGCCTTTCTAGAGCCATGATGGATCTAAAAACGATCTCTTTACATTTGGATATCTTCAAAGCAAGAATTCACAATAAATTGGAAAGAAAAACGAAAAAAAGCTGAAAAAGTACAAACCTCCGCACTGACAGCCGCGAAAAACAGCAAAAATGCAAAGGTAGCGATGGCAAAAAGACGATTGGAAAGGATCATTTTCAGTGGCTCTTTTTCTCCTTCCCTGAAACAGCCAGACCCTGGGGGGGAATGTGTCCAAGTGCGCGCTTCTTCACTTTTCGAGAGGTCCAAGGGCCCACCCTTTTATCACCTTCGCGACTCGGCCGCCTCTCAGAGGACCGAAACAATCTCCAAACAATCGGCTCCTGTTTTTTCGAAATTTCACTCCGGGGGTGAGAAGGGGTTCCAATAAAAATCATATAATAACACTAGCAAGTTATCGTTTTCGGCCCTAAAGGGAACTTTTGATGAAACTCTCAGGAGCTCCCGAGTGGTCACTATAGGGGCGACCTTAGGGACCTTCGGTGGGCCCCTTTAGGGATCACTTCACCAACCTTATAGGGGCCACTAAAGCTTGCAAAAGTGGCCCCTATAGGGGACATGCTAGTCGATAATTGTTCTGAACTTCAAGAGAAGAAGCATTTCCATGAGAAAACTGAACAAATAATCATTTTTTTAATGAAATTGAAAGACCCTATAGGAATCACTTTTTTGGCTTTTTCGGTCCCTATAGGGGTTGTTTTCCCCCCTAACTCCTATAGGGACCACTCTAGAACTCCTTAGCTTGGCTGAGATACACTTCAGGGCTTCAAAATTCCAGAAAAAGAAAGCATTTCTAGAATTTTTTTCGACTTTGGAGCTTTTTAAATTTGAAAAATGCACCGAAAATCGAAAATAAGCTTCATTTGAGAGGTTTAAAGCTTCATAACTCGGAAAAAAGGCCTATTGCAAAAATTTATCATCATTCTGATCAAATGTGCTTCAGGAGGTTCTAAAGCACATTTCAGCCAAGTGAAAAGTTCAACCGGTGCCTCAAAAACATTCCCTTGTGGGAAAAGAAAAATCGAGAGTTCAGTAGTGAATATTTCACGTCGAAAAATGCGAAAAATAAAACAATATTTGAGCAAAATTCAGGTCAATCCATTCGTTTCCTGTCGATAGAAAACCATTATTTTCTTTTTTTTTTTGGAGCTAAAATCTTCAGCATCCAGGAAAAAGCGGTTTCACTCGCTACTTTTGTTTCCGAAAACTTCAAGTTTTCCCGATTTAGAAGCTAATTTAGGTGGTATTTTTTTTCTGAACTATTAAAGAGGTACGAAGATTGAAAAATATAAAAGAGCAGAAATATCTTTTTCCGTTTTTTTAGAGAGCCTCAATTTTTGAGAAATTCAAACTTTGAAGAAAAAAATTCAAGTCAAAAACAAAAAATTTTCGTTATTCGTAAAAATTAGCTTGATTTTTTTATCAAGTGTTTTATTTCTCACACACAAGTACTAAAATTTACGAAATAGATGTAGGGAGAATTCGGGAAAATATGTGTCGGATTCTTAAACTTGAGTCACAAAAAAATCTGAAAAAAAGTGATCAGAAAATTTGCAGACGCATTGTGTGTTCTATAGATCAGTAGCAAACTAATTCTGAACCAAACTTTCCAATCAACAAAAATTAGTGTGTGGCAAGAGATGCCTTGAAAAGGACTTTTCAACCGGTTAGTGCCCGGCCCGGGCATTGGGCCCGATTTCTGGGAAGAAGCCTTGGGTCAGGTTCGAAATTTCAATCTTAAAGCTGTTCTCGGGGTCGGAATTGAATTATATCCTCTTCAATTTTCATAAATCGAATTTTTCTAAAAAAAAATTAGATTTATCCGCCCTTGTCAATCGACGCGCTTCTACTCAGGCAAATTCGGATGGTGGCTGCTAAAAGAGAGAAGCTCAAAAAAGGCCTCAGAAAGGGAGCAAAAAGAGTCCCTTTATCGCGCCTTTCATTTTTTTATGGAATTTTAAAGGCTTAAGAAATGGTGGGAAAATGGAGAGGCAGCAAAAATGGTGCAAAATGGCCGATAAAATGGCGCAAAAAGGCAGCAAAAAAGGAGCCTTGGTCACCCTAAAAGGAACATTTCTATGGAGTCTTTTTTCAACCCTTACCGGCTTATATGATAATTTCGAGTCAACCAACACTTCTAAAAGGTTTTCTACCACTTTTCTCTCGTTTTCATTCCAAGTAGGAATAACCCATTCATCTCCTTCTGCCAATTTGATACGCAGGCAAAAAAAAAACAAATGGAGCAGCTTCAAACAAAACGGACCGAATTTCCGGTCCTCTCCCGATTGAGTTGAATTATTTGCTGATAATCGCAACGGTCAACTTTTTCTTCTCGCGCCTCGGGGGCAGCCACGAGCTCATTTCAAAACAGAGCCTCGATGAATTAGGAGGAGAAAAAATGATTGCTGGGAGGTATTTTTAGGTGTGAAACCAAGGGAAAAAAGTGAAACCGATTTGAAAAAGAAATAAGATTAACTTGTTGAAAAATACTGGAAAATTTATTGTCCGTAATATAAACCTAGGTACAAAGACAATGAGAAAAATATTTCAAATTACAATTTTCAAGAAGAAGTCACTCCGTTTTGTCATGAAAAAAATTATTGACAGAAATTATTTAGATAATTACAAGGAGAAGTCGATAACGGCCCTGCTTTTGATGGTTCCGTCGAGCATTTCGCGGTAGATCCGCTCCACATCTTCCAATTTGATCAGCTCCAGGGGCACCTTAACTTTTCTGATAATCAAGAATCGATTTTTAGAATTGAAAAATCTCTAGGTATATTGATGGAATCCACACTTACATCTTCAAAATCATTAACGTGGAAGGTGATTTTTGCGTAAGGTTTCTCTATAAAATTATTCAAACAATCTTTGATGAACTGGGAATCGATCCACATCGTCGCTATCTGATCAAACTTCTATTTTTGGAGATGTGATTTTTTAAATTTTCATCCTTAACCATGTGACGCCGTTTGGAAGGAATGCGTACGCGCCACCAGCCTTTGGATGACATTTCTGAGCGTGGTGCAGTGGCTAGCGTGTTAGCGTGCGAAGCCCATGATGAATGTTCAAATCCTCTTGCCGCCAATTTCTTTTTGCTATGAAAGATTCTGATGAAATTATCGAAATTTCATAATTGAAACCGTTCCAAAATCAATCGATGAGCATTTTTTTTTTAAAAAGTACTCTTTTCATAGAAGTTTTTTTTTTAATCTTTCGAAGTTGAGGCATGCTTCACATCATCAAATCAATGCGAAAATTTTTACTTGAATCACATGTTTGAAGAACCTTTTTTTTTCTATTGGGAATGACGTTTGAATGTATTATATCGTTTTTTTTATGGTCTACTCCGTGCCAGCTTGTCATTGGATTTTTCTGGCTAAAACACCGTATACCTTAAAATCCCAGGTCCTACAGCGAAGACGCAAAAAAAGAGCTCTGAATACTGTGTTTTGCCTATTTTTTTTTTTGGAATGTGACAAGATCGCGCAGAATTGAATATAGCCGATTCACGGCTAGCTTGGGACGCAAAAAGGCGTGACCAGCCTGCGCTCTCCACGATCCAGGCACTGTCTCTTTTCTTATCGTGTCAGGACCCTTTTTGCGATGGCCCAAGCTAGCCGTGAGTCAGCTATGAACATAATTTGTTTCCGTTTTCAAATCGAACCTTCACGACGCCCCTGCTCACAAACTCCAGCGCTTCATCAACATCAAGCCGATTTCCAACAATACTGCCGACGATTTTGTTGGCGTTGAAAATGAAAGGCGCCGTGTCGAAAGTTACCTGAAAGAGAATGAATTTTGAAAAATCTCATAAAGCTTAAGGTTTGCCAATGGAGCCCAGAAGTTGGAGACTTGAATTCTCAAATTTTTGATTTTTCTAGTTTGGAAAGTATTTGAAAAAATCGATGTTGTGTGCTCCATGGATAAAATGACTTGTCACAAGGGAGGTCATTTTACTTTGCGGTTCGGATTTTCCTGGAATTTGGCCGGAAAACTTCTTGATGTACCAGAATGAGATCCTGAAAGGCACAACCTATAAAACTTCCTAGTTTCGAAAAAAAAAATCCTTTGAATCGGCGATTTTTTTGGGGTTTGAGTCCCTTTTTCTCGAAAAATAGGAAGTTGCCCAAGTTGACGTTTTCAGAATCTTCATTTGGTACATATATCAAGAAGTGTTCTGGCCACTTTTCAGGAAAATCCCAACCACAAAGTAAAATGACCTCCCTTGTGAGAAATCATTTTATCTACGGAGCACAAAATGCCCATTTTGAGAAAGCTTTTTCTTCCATTTTCTCCTAATACCCGACTTGGGAGAGGGCCGGCCCGTCAACCTCTCGACCGCCCGGTCACTTCCCAAGCACGGCCCGGTCCGGCCTTAGAAGGGCCTCAAGCAAAAATGGCCGGCCCAGCCCAAAAAGCTCAAATTTTTTTCATTTCGAGCTTTTCGCTTTTTTAACGAGAAGAAATTTTTTACTTATTTTTCTTCATAGAAATATTAGAAACTATGATTCAACAAGTAAAAATAATTTTTCGTTGAAATTGTTTTAAAATGAAATTCAAGATTTTTTCAAAGCCCGGCCCGCGCCCGCGCTGGCTTTTTTAAAAAATTAGGTCCCAAAGCCCGGGCCAGGCCGCCCAGCATGACGCACAAGCCTGCCTAATACTCGAAAAAATCATCAACCTTCGAATCTTTGGGCAATCCGACGTAGACGACGGTTCCATTTTTCCTGATGTATTCCATGGCCTGTTCCATCGGCGCTTTCGCCACCGCCAAGCTTACCACGCCATGTGGTCCGCCGTTCGTTATCTCAATATTAAAGTTCGTTTTTTGTCCTGTCTACTGCTGATTAACCAAAGGTTGATAAACAATTTGCTTTTTTTTTGCCTTGTGGTGCCAGTCGCCTGACTATCTGATAGTCTTTTGAAGACTTTTTTTGAGTCTAGTCAAGATAAGAGACACTAGTTTGGAGTTTCGAACTTTTTGGCGAAAAAAAAATCACTTCTCAAAAATATCCAGAGATTCATTCCTTGAGAGAAAGTACAGTTAAGATCTCCAAAATTGAAAAATAAACACTTTTTTCGAGACCAAGTTTTGTAAAAATTAGTAGCTCATGTTGTTATATGTATCAGAGTGAAATGAATATTCAAAAATTTTGAAAATTGCACAAATAATATGATTTTTGCTAGCGTAGGGTTCAAAAAAGGGATCTTGAAATCCAGCAAACGAGAAATCTGCAGCGGCCCGAAGAGACGCTAGTGAAATGGATTTCTCTCTTTCTCTGATCTCTCTTCAGGCCCATTGCTCTCTCTTTCCTCCAGTTAGCTCATTAGATGAACGAGAGAGATTGAGCGGTTTGAAGAGAAGCTAGAGAAATAGGCTCCCAAACCGTCTAGCGTCTCTTCTCTCACTATCTTAATTCCGGACCATTTCAAAATAATCTATCGCTTTTTTGCAATTCAAAAAGCTTTATGAAGACTTCCAACAAAAAAAAATAAAATAAGGATGAACTTTCTCACCTCCCTAACGTCTTTGACAATCTTCTGGCCGTCCTGGAAGCCATCCAAGAACCACTCGGCGCCAAGTTCCAGACAATGCTCCTTCTTGTTGTCGTGGTCGATGGCGAAAACCCGGAGACCCATCGCCTTGGCGTACTGGATCGCCAAGGAGCCCAGGCCTCCTCCGGCTCCAGTCACCGCCACGATCTGCCCGGCTTGCAGCTTGGCTTCCTTCAAAGCCTTGTACACCGTCACGCCCTACGATGTTCACACGTTCGTTTTCTCGCAAAAAGTCCCAACTCCGCAAAGAATCGGCGCCGCTTGGGCCATATCGGTGGCGGGAGCGATCCGGGCGGCGTCGACGCCTCGGACGACGACGTACTCCTGAAAGGTGCCGTCGCGGTCGAACCCGTAGCTCTGAAGGTGTGGGCAGCACGGTTCGCAGCCGCTTTTGCAGAACTCGCACGACATGCAGTTGAAGTTGAACAACTGGAATTTCTTGTCCAACCTATCACTCTGCTTGGAACAATTCCAATAGCATCAGTTGAAAAAATTTTGAAAGACGTTTTGGCAGAAAAAAATGGGAGCATACGCGCTCTATGGAGATTTTTTTCAAGACTCAAATGAGACAAATGGAAATACTTTTTTTTCGAAAAGGGATAGAAAAACTTAAAAAAGTGGTTTCATAAACGATTTTTCAACTTTAATTATTTGGGAAATTTTCGATAGATACTTTTTTCATTCGTTTATCAAAAGTTAATTTTTCTTCCATTTTTTTGAAAATGAAGCGAGAGATAAGAGAAGACGTGAAGAGGGGAAAGAGAAATTGAAGTTCTCTCTTTCTCTGAGTCTCTTGCCGCTACTTATCTCTAGTTTTAATGAATTTGAAAAAAACGTTTGGAACAGTCTAAATTTGGGAATTCTTAATAATAAAATCTTTGAAAAATTTCGTTCACAAAAGTTAGACATGAAACGTCGTTACTGGCACACTTTTGAGAATTTTCATTAGAAACGCTTTTTCTTTTTTTTTCAAAAGTGGTTCCTACAGGGGTTTCATTTAGTGGCCCCTAGAGAAAAAATTTTTAACCGATATAGGGACCACTTGCGCTTTAGAGGCTAAGAAGTCAGATCCTAAACCCCTACAGGGGTCATCTAATTTTTACCCCTATAGGGGCCACTTTTCCTCAACTATTGAGGCTGTTTTTCTCCTAACTCTTATAGGGACCACTCTGGAATTATTAATTCCGTGTTAAAAGTAATTTCCGCGAAATGCAAAATTATCTCTGACTCTCTAAAATTTAGTTATCTTTTTCTTTCTCTGACGGCTGTTTTGAGTATCGCGAAATCACTTTGAACACGGCGTAAGGACGCGCGAACGGTTAGAGTGGAAGGGAGAGACGCTGCTGTGAGCAGAGACGCAGAGGAAGGGGAGATTCATTTAAAAGTACTTATATTCGAATATTCGTAAATGGAAAAGAAACTTGGTGTTCTTCTTTGGTTCGCGTTGTGCGAGATTTCCCATCCGTGATTATCATTGTTGCCCCTATAGGGACCCCTCTGGAGTTCCTAGGTAACTTTGAGTTAGTTAACGACTTTCCCTTCTTTCTCCAACTAATTTGAATATTTTTTCAGAGTCATGGTCCGCCGTTACGTTTCTGTAAGTTCTTTCATGATATATTTTCAATAATCTTTTAATTTTAGTTACAAGGTCAAGCGTTTTTCGGGCTATCGTTTCACCTTCGCACAAAACTTCGCGAAAAGTGAGCAAATTATTTTTAATTATTTTTCCATTCATTTTGATCAAACGTTTTTTGTGTTAATATTCAATTTATATTCCTTAGGCTCTTGGACATGGATCGCCCAACAAGGAATGCATTTTTCGAGGTTCTTGTCCGGAGCATTCACGAACTCGACGCTCTACTGCGACATCCATCGGGTATGCGAAATCTCTAAACCTTTTTTTTAACAGTTTTAAAGACAATGTTTCTGTTTGATGAATTAAAAACCAGCTTTTCCTAGAGTTATTAAAAAGACTTTAGTGCGTGGCCACCTCGATCCATCAATTCTAACACCGGAAGTTGACGTGGTGTGTTTCTTTTTTCATATTCCGTTAACAATAAATAAATGATATTGGACCAATCGATTCAAAAGTGTTTACATAATCATCTATATGGGTTAGAGGAAAAACAACCCTCATAGGGGCGGAAAAAGTGGTCCCTATAGGGGTATAGAAATTGATCCCTTACTAGGAAACGTTTTTTACCCCTCCCCCGGTTGAACTTTTGCTGAAACTTTGCTGAAGTGTGCTTCAGGATCCCTGATTCCAGAACAGAAAGAAAATTTCTCGCAATAGATCTCGTTTTCGAGTTAGGACCCTTCAAAAGCCCGAAATAGCGCTTTTTTGGCCTAATTTGCGTATTTTGCACACTTTGAAGCTCCATGAACTTCAAAGTGTGCAAAATACGCAAATTGCAAAATACGCAAATGTAAAACGTTTCCTGGTTAGCCCCTAAAGCTGAGTTGGACCCTATAGGGGTCTTTCAATTTCATTTAAAAAACGCTTATTTGATCAGTTTTCCCATCAAAATGGTTCAGCATGTTTCCTATAGGGACCACTTTGCAAGTTTAAAGTGGTTCCTAAAAGGCGCTTAAGGTGGCCTCTATAGGGACCACTCTGGAGTTCCTAGGAATGACGGAATATTGTGTTTAGCGTTCCTCCCTAAAGGCGGTTCTCCGGAGACTCAAACGACAATTCAGAGCTGCTTCGATTCTCGCAGATGCTGCTCACTTGGGTACTATTTTGAATATGTTGATATTTTGATAATTTTGTATTTAGGACCTCCAGCCAATGAAGAAGAACAGGCGGCGGTGTCGGGGGTAGACCGCGTGATATACGCATTGTATGATGAGTTCTTGCCGTTCGATGGCTCTACCACTGAGTCCGACTAATTCAACTCTTGTTTAGGGTGATTGATATGGATCTCATAAAAATTTTTGTGAATATAAAAACGAACTTCCTTACGTTTACTTTTCGAAAAACAAGAACTAAAGGTGAAGGAGGTTATTGATCTTCCCCTGGAAGTAACCCTTGTAATGGCAGAGCATTTGTCATAAATAATCTTCGGAAATTCTTGATTTCCAGCACAAAGTTCTCTCAAGGTTTGTAAAAGGAGACTTTTCTCTAGCTTCTTGGGAACTCCACAGTGGTCCCTATAGAGGCAACCTTCGGGCCCTTGGAGGGTCCCGTCTAGGGACGACTTAGTGGTTTTAGTTAGTGGCCCCTATAGAGGACATGCTAGTCGAGTATTGTTATGAACAATAATTTCCATGTGAAAACTGAAAAATAAGCGTTTTTCGAATGAAATTGAAAGACCCCTATAGTGACCACTTTTTCGATCCCTATAGGGTTTGTTTCCCTCTCTAGGTTGGGCATTTATTTGAATTATTTCCTGAATTTTCGGATGAATTTTTAAAATTCCCTCTAACTTAATGATAAACCGTCTTGCAATGAAGAAATTCGAAAAAAATGGGCTTTTCGTGGATTTTTTGTTGGATCAACAAGAAAACCGAAAAGGGGCTCAAAATTTAAAAACTCCATGACTGTACCAGTAACAAAAGTTCACATCTAACTTACGAAGATATTCTGAAACTTGAGTAGAAACGTGAGAAAAAAACCTTGATGCCAGCCAAATCGCCATTCTTCCAACCGGCGACCTTCGACCCAACTTTAACGACTTCTCCAGCTCCTTCGTGGCCTCCAACAAGTTTCTCCTTGCTGTAGGCCTTCAGGTCGCCAAGCCAAACGTGCAGGTCGGTGTGGCAGATTCCCGAGTAGCGGATCCGGACGAGAAGTTCGTCTTCGGCTGGCTTCGGCACGGGGATCTTCTTCACTTCCAGTGGTCCGTTGTACTTTTCGAAGTAGAGGGCTCTTTGCGTGGTCGGGATCGAGGCCAGGAAGCGGGCAAAGTTGAACGCGGCTTGGTTCTGAGTAAATCAAGGGTTAGAAAATGAAATTCAAGAGAAAAAATAGTTTCGATCGGATGAAACTAGGAGAAAAGAGGGTTCAGACGTTTAGACCGTACAAAAACTAAGAAAAATGCCCATGAAAAAACGGTTATAGTTCATTCAAAGAAAAATGAATTGGGCGGAGTCAAAACCTTCGCTTTCCCCATGTGACGTCATGAAAAACAAGCGTAAGCACCAGAGAATATTAAAGGAGCATGTTCAATGGGTCATGAGACGAATCGATTTCTCAGTAACCCGCAATTTTACTGTTGCTTTTTTTAGAAGTGCTACCGCAAAATTCAAAATAGCCGCCAGAGAGGGGAAAATATAACTGATTTAAAAAAAATTCAAAGATTTTGAATTTTGCCAGAATTAATTTGAACACGGTATGTGCGAGTACGCCGCAGTGCATGCAGACGAAACACTACACTTTACGCAAAAAGGGCGTTGTAAAAACGCGGTTTTTAACTTTTTAGCCCTAATTTTTTTCTGGTTCAGGTTTACTGATGTTATCTACAGCGTAAGAAAAAACGCAGTATCATGACGACGCCTTTTTTTTTTTTTATTTAAAAACGATAACTTGAAGTTTTTTTATTCGAACCAATTTATTCAAATACTAACTTTCATTATTTTAAATTTTTTTTTCGTTTTTGTTATAAAATGGTATTGAAGTAAACATCTCGGAGCTTTAAAAATTCCGATTCTCTCGAAAAAACGAATTTCATACCTGTCCGCAGCGACGGAGAAGCCCTTTGCCAAAATTGGAAGCGAACATTTTTGCGAAAAGATTGAGGAACTGAGTCTGACCCTGCGCTTTTTGTAGTAGTTTTGCAGGGTTGTTATCAACACCCCATTTTTTTTCTCGTATTTGACAGGTCTACTGCTCTTTTCTTCTCCTGATAATTTTCCGTATTATCAAAAAATGTCTCTGGATGTATGATTCCGGTTTTTGGACTTTTGAGTTTTTTTCACCAGGAAAACAAAACTCAAAAAATGTTTTTTGTTGAAATATCTATAATTCTTTGAAAAAAATGTGATTTTCAAATCTACTAAAAAAATCTCGAAAAATTGGGGAAATTCAATAATGATTTAGTCGTATCGATACTTCAAAAGCTGTAGTTATGACAGGAAAAAAAATAATTTTGTGATCATTTGCGGTTATTCTGAAAACTATTTAGTGCCGTTTTTTTTCTGAGAGCTGAGCTGTGCTAAAATTCTAATTTTAAAAAATATCGGAGACGGCTCAGCAGAGACGAGAAAAATGAAATGTTTTATGAAACATATTTTCGCAACAGATTTCTCCAACTCTTCTGAACAAGTTACAACTTGAATCATTCGTTTTTTTCAGCTTCTCCTACTCAGGTGAATCCTAAAAAGGTAACCAGCAGGAGGTTGAGAGGTGAATGAAAGCTTGAAGGTCTTGGGAAGGTTATCGATAGGTTTTCAGAAGGTAGTCTCCTGGAAGGCTTCTGACATTTTTCATTTTCCCTTTTCAAATACCTTCCAACTACCTTCCTAGGGTTGAGAGTCAGGCGAATCCTGGTGAGGTGTTGGGAAGGTAACCAGCAGGAGGTTGAAAGGTGGATGGAAGCTAGAAGGTGCCTAGAAGGCAGTTGGAAGGTCTTTGGAAGATAAAAAATTGAAAATTTTTCCCTCAACTCATTTTTTTATTCCCTGAAAAAGTTACGAATAGTTCTTTTTGAAAGCTTCTCCCACTAACTTGAAGATCAAAAGCTGGGAAAGATCTAAAATGCCTAAAATAACTTTACAACCAAGCTGCCAATCTTAAGAAAACAATATCAGCAAAATCCAATCATGCGCTCAAAAAGAGATAAGCCGATAATTCCTCGTTTTCATAACTAAGGTGCCAACCTTGAACAAACAATGGCAACTAATTCCGACGCGGCTCCCAGAACAGTTTAATGTTGCCAACATACGTCGTCGGCCTCGATAGAGAACCTTGATACGTCTCCGCAGCAGGCGTACAACACGAGGAACAAGCTTTTGTCGGATGCATGTCTCTCTCTCTTCTTCTGTGTTTTGTGTGTTTTTTGTGAAGACTGCGTAAGGCCTTCTGCCGTTTCGGTTCAGGGGTTGGGTTGGCCGACACAGGAAAAAAAAAAGAGAAGCAACACAAGTGGCAGGTATAAAAGCCCTAGGTGTCGATGGCAAAATCAGCCGACCAGCCCAATGTACTCCTCCAGCAACGACGAGAAGCACCTCGACCGCGAGGCCGACGGCCTTCGCAAGATCGCCTTCTTCGGCATCTGCATCAGGTTACTTGCTGAATTTCAGATTTTGAAGCTTTGAACATGAGGCTACCTTTAAGGAATAGTACAAAGATACACGCTCAATGGAAAAAATAAGATTTTCAAGGCCCCCTTTAAAGAAGTCCAGCGCTTCCTTTAGTTCCTCCAAAATCCCAAGTGACCACTTAAGCTTTTCTGAAAGCCATCAGGACCACTTAGGTTTCGAGATAACTTTCAGCTTTTCTTTCAGCTCTCAAACTTTTACAAAAACTTAAAATACCTGCTTTCTAGCTCTCCGGTAAACTGAAAGGATCATCAAAGGGTTGCAATTTTTGAACTTCCTCTTATTCAACAAGTTTCAGTACGGTCGCGACTCTGACGGCGATCGTCGCCATCCCATCGCTGTACAACTACATGCAGCACGTGCAGTCCTCGCTGCAGACGGAGGTCGACTTCTGCGTCCACCGCACCAACGGCCTCTTCGACCAGTACGAGCGCATGCAACGCGCCAAGGGCGTCGTCCGCAACGTCATCAAGCGTCAGGCTGGCTACGGTGCTCCAGCTGAATACGGAGACCACGCCGTTCACGGCGGTAGTGCTTCGGCTCCAGCTCCGGCTCCACAGGGCGGCAGCTGCTGCTCTTGCGGAGTTGGCAAGGCTGGACCACCAGGACCACCAGGAACTGACGGAAACGACGGCAAGGACGGTCAGCCCGGACCTGATGGACAACCAGGAAGCGATGCTCCAGCCGACGCCGTCCCAACCGCCGACGACTTCTGCTTCGACTGCCCAGCCGGACCACCAGGACCAGCCGGAAACCCAGGACCTAAGGGAGCCCCAGGAAACGCCGGATCCGATGGACAGCCAGGATCTGACGGTCAGCCAGGAGCCGCTGGACAAGCCGGACCACAAGGACCAGCCGGAGATGATGGAGCGCCAGGAGCCGCTGGAGCGCCAGGAGCCCCAGGAGTCGTCGAGGAGGTTTGCCTAGGCTAGATAGTATCCAAAGACAATGGAAACTTTACAGGTTCCCGGACCACAAGGACCAGCAGGACCAGCCGGACCCGCCGGACCAGCAGGACCTGACGGAGCTCCAGGACAGCCAGGAAAGCCAGGAAGCGACGGACAGCCAGGAGCTCCAGGAGACGCCGGCTCCGACGGACAGCCCGGCCAGCCTGGACAGCCAGGAGAGCAGGGAGCCGCTGGAGAGCCAGGAGCCGGAGGCGGCTGCGACCACTGCCCACCACCACGCACTGCTCCAGGATATTGATTTGCCTGTATATTTATGTCCCAATGAACTATTTCTCTCTCATTTCTCATCGTGTGTTGCAAATGATAGCAAAGAGACAAAGTTTTTCAGATTTGAAAAAGACAC